TTGGCCCTTTTTGAACAATGGCTAGATTCTCATTGTTCAGTCAGCCCCTTCTCATTCCCTCAGCCAGCATGAACAGTGGGACTCAGAGCAAAAGATATTAGTTAATTTTGTGTGCTTCATTCTAAACAGCTGCACTTGAGATGTTTTTTTTTTTTCTTCTTCTTAATTTATGGAAGCAATGAGGCAGGACAGGGCAGAGCATTAGAACATTCAGAAGCTAAGTATTTTCTCAAGGTGTACACATCCATGTTAGTCTTCAAGTGCGTGAACATGAGGTGAGGAGTGGAAGATGTTCTACTCGTAGAGTTGCTGGAATTCCTCCCAGGATTGTACTTACTGATTTCCTTCATTGTTAGGCTTGGTTGCTTTACCTCAAAGTCACACTGTCGGCTGCTTGCTCCCAAAGTGTAGTGATAGAATCAGAGAGTCACTGTCGGAAGATGGGACCTGTTTTCTGTTCACCTGATTCACACCAGCTCTTCTTATTTTGTCACCTGTGGAGAGAGTAGTATGGACATTTGAAGAGTAGGGTCGTAGGGTGGGAGAGAAAGAGGACATGCAGCTCTCAGTGGCACCTGTTAGTTTTCCAGTTCTTGATGATCCATGGTTACAGGTCATCTCAGATAACAGAGATAACTCATTCTGTTTTTCTGTATTTTCTTCTTATTAATTCAGACTAGATTCTAAGTCCCTCGACAGGACTTCAGCCCCCTTGTCTTATTGTCTTTCCACGTCACTGGCAAGGGGTGCTAAATGCTCTTGTGAGGACCACACCGCCCCAGGGATGGCCTCTTCTTGGTTGTCTGCCTGCACAGTAAGGCTCCTCTTCTCTTGTGAGTTTTCTTTGCTGATCTCTAATGACTATTAGAAATTTACACTCTCTAAATATTCCCCCCCCCCCCCCCCCAGATTTTCCTCAACCCTTAGTGCAGGTGCCCTTTGTTTTTACTACAAGAAAAGAAAAAGTTAGCTTGGTGTGGTGCACACCTGTAATCCCAGTGGCTCCAGAGGCTGAGGCAGGAGGATTACAGGTTCGAAGCCAGCCTCTGTAACTTAGCAAGGCCCTACACATTGTAGTGAGACTCTATTTCTAAATAAAATATAAAAAAGGGCTGGGGATCTAGCTCAGTGGTTAAGTGCCCATAGGAATCCCCAGTTACCCCCCCCCCCCCCCCAAAAAAAAAAAAGTTATCAGAAATCTTTCAACTTCTGTCCATTAAAACTTACAAAGTTGCTTGCATTTGCACCCAGAAAGTGAAGAGGCACATTTACTCTGTGAGTACCATCCATCAACTAGCAAAGAATCCCGTTCTTGTTTCTCAGCCTGTATTTCAGCACTTCCTTCTCTGCGGACCCCAGCAGTAAGTGCACTGAAAAAGGGAAAAGGAAACTTGCCTTGGCTCTGGACTCCTCCCATTTTCATCCCTTCTTGCTGCTGCCCTTTGGCCCAGTGCCAGAGCAGGCTGACCACGCATCTTGCACCTTCCTGTTGTCCATCCTCCGTTCCAGGGTCTGTGATTCCTGCGCTTGGAAGTGCTTCAGATGCAGCACTGGCCTCTCTGTGGCTCAGGCAATGGATGCTCCTTGGTCAGTTTCCTCGGCTTCTCTTACCCGTGGTTGCTCCTATAGCTTGATCTGTTGGCTCTTTCACCTGGGTGATGGGGAAAATCAGCTCTGAGGTGGCTCACTGTTCATCCCTTTGCCCTGATCTTTAGTATCCATTGACATGCTAATGGCCCCCAAAGCTGTGTGTTTCAGAAGTCTCTTGGGCCTTCAGACCACCCACATCCAGCTCCCTTCTACTCATTTCCTCTTTGACTTGAAGTCACCCCAAATCGTCACCCCTGCCTGCTTACCCTGCCCTGTTCTCTGTTTTAGTGAATGCTGCTACTCTCCATTTGGTTGTTTTTAAACTAGAGAACTGAATGTTGTTCTTAATCTTTCCACCTCATGGACTGGGATAGAGCGGCTGAGGAAAACAGAGTGGTAACAGTGCAGTGGAGGGGGCCTTCAGCTGGGCTTTCCTCCTACCCCTCCTGAGATCCTTTTGCTTCTCTTCATTCCACTGTCCCTGCCTTAAATTCAGCCTCTGCCATCTCCCTTGGAGCACCAGCACATCATCATCTTTTTTTTTTTAAATACATGTATATATTATAGATGGACACAGTACCTTTATTTTACTTATTTATGTATTTGTGTGCTGCTCAGGATGGAACCCAGTGCCTCACACATAGTGGGCAAGCGCTCTACCCCTGAGCCCGTGCCCCCCCACTACGTTGTCTTAACCTCTGTCTTCAGCTCCATCCCTTCTAATCTCCACGCTGGGCCCAAAGCATGAAATGTGGCCTTGTGTCCTGGTGTCTGCCCTTCAGAAGCTGGCCATTACCCTTACGTCGAGTTTGTTCCGTGCTCTGCTTCTTGTTGACTCCCTCCAGCCTCTCTCTTGTTCTGATGTGTTGAGAAGCCCTTATTCTTCCCAGAAAGTCTTTAGACTTTCATACGGGGCATTGCATCTGTCTGGGCAGCTGACCCCTGTTTGCTTAGCTAACTCTAAGCATTCCTCAGGTCTTGGATTTAGGTGCCACTTCCTCTAGGAAACATTTCTTGACCTCATGCACTGGGTTGGGTGACCTTCCTCCATGGTCCCCCTGCGTGCTTCCCTTCCCCTATTCTAGAATCACCACAGAATTGCACTTGTCTGTGTCCACTCTGGATTGACTGCAACTCTGAGGGCAGTGCCTGTGGCTGTCTTGGGGGGAAGTGAGGAAGCACCTCCACTGAGGTCACTACAGAGCGTGTGGAAGAGGGTAAAATGGAAACCGAACCTCCGAAACATCCTCAGAGCTGGCCAGGCCAGGCCAGTGCCTGTGAGCTAGGCCGCCCCAGAGTTTGATGCAGGCAGAATTACTTTCTGGACGTTTTGCCATCCCTGGGTGTGTGATGTGGTCATGGTGAGAGTGGCTACATGTGCCCATTTACTTCAGAATATGGCTTTTTAATGGTGCAGTGGAGGGGGACTTCAGCTGGGCTGCTGGCCCCTCCCTGAAGAGGCAGAAGTTGATCTGGAACACAGACCCCCCTGGTCCTTTCTACCTTCTCTCCTTTGGCCCAGTCAGCTGCAGTCAGCTTGCTAAAGAACAATAGGATGTCCAAAAGGAAGAGAGAGAATAGAAAAGCAAGGTAATCTGTAATCCACAGATTAGTGAGGACGCCTTTGAACATCCTGAGCTAACTGCTCCTGCATACAATTAGATTGTTTTACCATTCTTGAATGTCTGAGATAATGAGTCTCATTCAGAGGGGAGGGCTTGATGACACAATAGATACAATAAAGGTTAAACTTGCATTCTTTTAACATGAGGTGCATTAACTGTGTATAGGTGGTCTGTGTCCAGGCAAAGCCTTGTCTTACATCCTAGGTGCCAGATCCTTATTCATATATATCCTTTGGCACCTGTACCCTGGTAGTCCATGCTACAGCAAAGTCTTTATGTGTGAACATATCCAGGGGCCTAGTCTAATAATCTTTTAAATATATTTTACCATAATAATGCTTTATATCTGTATCAAGTTTTTCAGTTCATCAGGTACATGCAAGGTCTTAGTTTGACCTTCCTACAACCTTTGAGGTGGGTGGAGCAGGGAATATCCTAATTTTTTTTCCTACCTTTTTTTTTTTTAAACTGGTGTATTATAGTTGTACATGATGGAGGGATTTGTTGTTACTTATCATACATGCACACAATATAACAATAGAATTTGGCCAGTACCATCATCCTCATTTTTACAGAAGAGAAAATGGCAAGAGCAGAAATATGAACCAGTTGAAAAATAGATTTAGCTCATCATATCAGTTTTGCTGTGGATAAAGCTGAGTTTTAAAGAGCGTGGCCTGAACAGACACCATGAATCTCCTTATCACCAATAAGAGGGCATTGCCAGAGAGGTCGGGATGGTTATTCCTGAGGAGCTAATTCACTTGTGAGAAGACTGTCCCAAGTTTAATAAGCTTCTCCTGTCCCCCAGTATATGGCTCAGGTCCGAATGTGTTAGTTTTGCCCAACTATACTTATTGACCAAATTGGGATCTGTACTATAACATAAAAGTAACAAAATAGCGATATTGATAGAAACAAAAAGACCCAGTGTGTGAGTGAATGGTGACTAAACACAGTTGCACATTCTTTCTTTTACCCATCTGAACACGTTGGCTGGCAGCCAAGCCATCCTGACCATAAGACTGTGCACTGGTTATTGCAGGGAACTGTCTGACCTAGTGACTCTTCTTCCAGAGGGGTGGCGGCCCATCGACTCCTCCCTTTTCCTGCCCTTCTCAGAGTTTCCGACTCATGTATTCTCTTTTGAACACATCCAAGTACAATCTCTTTAAGCCTCTTTTCTTCCCATCTCTTTGTTGAACTTCTGAAGGAGAACTTTTTTTTTTTCTTCTTTCCTGTTCTACTTCCTGCTCCATCTCCCAGACACTACTTCCCTTCCTAAAATCTCTGTTTCTTAATTTGGATGAGTAAATAGTATTGTATCAAGAGTGACATTAATGTTTAATAAAGAATGAGATTTTAAAAGTCTTTCAAGTAGACCATTTAGAAAGTCAGCAAATATTTTTGTATCTGTTAATTAAGCTTTTGTTGAAGCACCAGATTTAAGAATAAATGTTTTTAATTTAGTTTTTTTTTTTTTTTTTTTTTGAAGTACTGATGCTACCAGTTTTCATAGCAAACAGAGTTTCAGCAATGTATGTCATGAACAGGTCTTTATGAGCTGATGTTTGAACCCATCTGTACTTTGTCTTCTGTGGGAAAATGTACACTGCTTGCAGTTTTAGGGTGTCCTACTTGACATAGCCAGCATGTGATGTGCTCTGGGGTTGTCTTGGTCTAATGTGCACAGGAGATTTGTATCTTCCAGACCAAACTAGGAATGGAGGGGTTTCCTGGCCTTCACTCCTAGGGCTCATGAACTCTCGTGTGTTTGTCCCACAGGGAAAGCTTTTGATATCACCTACGTGCGCCTCAAGTTCCATACCAGCCGCCCCGAGAGCTTCGCCATCTATAAGCGCACGCAGGAGGATGGGCCCTGGATCCCCTACCAGTACTACAGTGGCTCCTGCGAGAACACCTACCTGAAGGCCAGCCGTGGCTTTATCAGGACAGGAGGGGATGAGCAGCAGGCCTTGTGTACCGATGAGTTCAGTGACATTTCTCCCCTCACCGGAGGCAATGTGGCCTTCTCGACCCTGGAAGGCAGGCCCAGTGCCTACAACTTTGACAATAGTCCTGTTCTGCAGGTAGGTAGCCACAGCATGGCGGGGGGACCGGGTAGCTCTTCCACGTACCAGGTGCTAGAAAGTCAGGCAGTGGGCCTGGAGCCCCACTGCTGAGGTGGGGATCAGAGTGGAACCTACTTCTGATGGACAGCTGAGTTTTCTGCTGTTTGTGCCAGGGAAATTATTTTCTTACTACCATCTGGTTTGTTCTCACGTCCTTATGCACTTGCAAAGATACCCTGGCATGGACACTACGAAGTTTTAACAAGTTGAACAATTCTGATTTTAGTCGGTGCACTTGAGGCAGAAATATTCTGCTTCTGACCTTTGGAAGAAGATAATGGGGACCTAATCTACCCAAGTATTCTTGCATCTTTTCTTACCTCTTTGATTTGACAAAAATAAAAAGCATTTTTTTTTAAGTTAGCAAAGGGGAACAGTTGAAGCAAGATACTTAAGAATGCCACCTTCCTCCATTATTACACAGGGAGATTTTGATTGGGCTTATCTAGCTCTTCTGCCAATCACTATGAGAATTCTTCATCATCTGAAAGGATGGGTGTTAGTGGAGGTACCAGTTAGGTACCCATGGTATTGCACTTAAGTGTTGTGATAGAAACCTTTCCCTGTCTAACGGCAGAAGAAATTAAAGATTTTTTTTTTTTTTAACCAATTCTATATGTGCTTTCCTTGTGTACCCTGATTTGGAGTCTTCTATTACTTAGATTTCTGTAAACTTGTTGTATGATCTAGCTGGATAATGGGAAAGAGTTCTGAGTCCTGTGCCTGTCTCAGCACACGAACACAGAGTTGGAGACACTACTGTCTGTTAGAGTCTGTAAATAAGTCAAGATGGCGCCTGGCATTTTGCAGAGGGAGTGGTTTGTGAAGTAACACCAGCGAGCCATTAAGTGTGGAGATTCCTTATTGGTTGACTGCTGTATCTAGTTTATGTTAATTAAGATAAGCTGTGTGTAATGTATATATACCCCTCCGGTCCTACAATAAATGGCTCCCACTCCTGCTGTATCAATCTACACAAGTTCCTCATCATCACCCCCGCCCCCGGTTATTTTGTTGCAGCCAGACTGCGGCAACTGTCATGTGGCTGCGGTTATCATCTAGCTGGGGTGGCCTGTGTTCATCGACTGAGACAAGGAAGACTGGATGTGGATTTGCAAATGCTGTGTACATTTTATGAAAACCTGTTATGATTTCTAAATAGGAAATCCTGCTGTTTTTCTGAGTCTTCTGAAAACTTTAGTGTTCTCTCATTATTTCCTCTCTGAAATTTGTTATGTTCAAGGACTCTCACTAATTTGGTTGTATGGTTTTGAACAGTGCCAAATCAAAGAGTATGTGTCTCGGTGGGTCCAGTTAGTTCCCTCCTTCCTTTGAGGGTTGCTGGGAGATGGCGAATGTGAAAGTACTTGGTAAATTCTGAAGTTATGGTGAACAGTGAATATGTTTGCAGAGGCCTTTCAGAAAAATGTTTCTTGGAATGGGAGTAGGCCATGTTCAAAATGAATGGCAGAAAGAACAGTTGATTCGGATAGATGGAAAAGCAGAAGATCAAACGCTGGGGGGAGGCCATACCAGGAAGCATTTGCCAGCCTCGTTTCTTCCTGCAGCAGATTGCTGTGTTTTCCTGTCCTGGACAGGCAACAGTATGGTCAGCAGGCAAGAGCTGTGTAATGAAGTTGTGGCTGTGGTTCTTGGTGCCTGTGCTAACTATGTGTCTTAGTGTCACATGTCTTGAGCAGCTTCCCCTGCTGTGGAAATTCATCTGCTGCTATTTATGCCATAGAAACTAATGAGAATGCATGTGGTAAAAATGCTATAGGCATCTGCATAATTTGGTCATTTCATTTAATTATGTGTTTCTGGATGTAAGAGCTGTGGTCTGCATGTCCCATGGCCAAGGAGAGTGGGCTGGATTGTCAGCTGGTCTGACAGTGAGGAGAGAGACAGATGTCCTCTCCTTCCAGAAGCTGCAGGCTTCCAGATGGAGGAGGCAGCCCTTCCTGCTTTCACTGTATAGGAGCATTTCAAAGCATACATTGTTGTAATAACAGCATTTATTACTCACTTGTGCTATAATGTGGCAAGTGCTAATCCAAGCTCTTAAGAGATAGTGATTCTTTTAACTCATAATAGCTCCATAAGTTACTTTCATTATCTCCATTTTACAGATGAGGAATCAGAGGCTGAGAAAGCTTATAACTTGCCCTAGATCACAGTTTTAAGTGGCAGAATTGAGATTCAGGCCCTGTGAAGTCCAGCTCTAGCGTCTGCTCTTTTTAAGATGCTCATGATGAAACAACACTGGCTAAGCGTCAGCCCTCCTTCACGGAGAGTTTTGATCAAGGTGCAGGTGGTAGAAGTTAAAAAAGCAGTAAACAGGGGTATGTTTAGTTATTTACATTACAGACAACTAACAAATTCCAATGGTTGTGGCCGTGAGTGGGAGTAGTTGTGGAATTCCAAGACTGGATGCAGTGAAGTCATCATCTCTTCTTCTTTCTAATTATACTCAAAGTGTCAAAGAGATTAGCTTTTATGATCTCTCCATGTTGCTCTGTGTGCCATTTTGGCATAGTTTAAGGCAGTGGTTCTTAAGCAGAGATGTGTCACCCTACTCACGTGGAGCCTTCTGGAAGCATAGATGCCTGCACCTTTGCACTTGCTCATTACACCTCTGAAGGTGACTCTGACCTGTAATGCCTAGGAAGGTCCCCAGGACTTAGAGCAGAATTGGTACCTTTGGGTGGACACACATGATCTGCCATCCCAAAACTTAATGTTTCTGAACATCCGTGGTTTATTTTTCTCCGTGATTCTAGTTGGCCTGGGTTCACTCACACAGCAGGTCATCTTCCGTCCTCAGAAGGCAGGACTTGGCTTCCCATGCAGGGGAGGAAGTGTCCCAGGAGGGCAGGTCCTTGTGTGTAAATGCTAGACAAGCCTGTTGGTGTCACCTTTGCTGATGTCTCCTCCCCCAAAGCAGCCAGACACACAAGCACAGTGTGGAAAATGTCAGCAAAGGGCAAGGCTCTGGCAGGCGGGATTCATGGGATTGTTGTTGTACCAGTCTACCATGCACATTAATGTCTGATTAAGTCAGTTCAGTGAAGGGGCATTTGGTGTCAGAGCTCAGATCTGGTGAAACCTGGGGGAAAGCTGTGGAACCTTTGTTCCAACATGGTCAGACGTGGGCTCTTCAGGTTCATTTGTTCGTTTGGCATACCTACTGTGCACTGAACACAGTAATCAAAACAGACACTGACAGCCTGCCACCTGGTGCTTACAGTCAGATGGTGGGAGCAGATGATACAAATAGGACAGGACAGGAAAGTAGGGAGCTGGGGAGGGATAGCCATTTAGGTAGGGTGGCCAGGGAAGACCTCATGGAAAAAGTGATGCTGTGGGAAAGGTCAAGACAAAAGGCCACATTTCATTGTTCCAAACCAATGCCAAGTTCACATGTGGGTATTTCCCTCAGATCTGTTAGTAGGGATTGGGTCCAGGAGGAGAGGGATAGATGGTACAGAACGGGAATAGGGAGGCATATCTAGAACAGTGTGGTAGTCTGTGACCTCTGAGCTGGTCTCTGCATTTGGGTTGTAGATGTGGTATGGGGAGAAGTGACACATGTATTGAGCGCCTAATATATGCTAGCCTTTTATTTATTTTTGTGGTACGAGGGGTGGGACTCAAGGCCTTGCACACACTAGGCAAGTACTTCCCCACTGAGCCAACCCCCAGCCCGTACACCAGTCTTTTAAATATGTGTTTCACTTAAACCTTTGAACAGTCTTGTGGAAGAAACTAGTCTTGCTTCTTCTAGCCTGAATGTTAAAGTAACAGTGTCAAGTAAAGAAGGGAAGAATCTAGGAGGAGAAAAACATCAGGAAATTAAAGGAGTCATTGAGTATTTTAATAGATTTAGTGCTAGAAAAGGACAAACATTAGATTATACACGAACTATTTAGAAAACGTCATCACATTTATGTCTCTCATCAGAGTCCCTGTACTCTCTTATATTTCTGTGTTTGCTCCCTGACAGGAGTGGGTAACAGCTACTGACATCAGAGTGACTCTCAATCGCCTGAACACTTTTGGAGATGAAGTGTTTAATGACCCCAAAGTTCTCAAGTCCTATTATTATGCAATCTCTGATTTCGCTGTGGGCGGCAGGTAAGCAATCATTAAATCTGCCTTGGAGGTGCTCTACTGTAGAAGTGACTGTAGCGCCTTGTTTACAGCTGCATCCATGCTGTTGCTAGATTTTTTTTTTCCTTGCTGACAGCAAGAGTGGCAGGACTTAGGGATAATACATATCTGGAAGGACAGGCAGCAACCTAGAATATTTCTCTGGAAACTAAGTGATTAGTTTCCAGAGAAAACAAAACCTTGTCAAACCAATACCTTAACACATACTGACCATTTAAATGCAGAGCCCCAGCACAGGCAAGCAAGACTGCTAAGGAAGAGTAAGACTGGCCTTCTGAGAAGGCCTCACCTTCTAGAAGTTTCCAAATAAAAGCAGCATGTCATGAATGAATGCATAGAAATTTAAATACTGGTTGAAAGTCCCTAATCCAGAAATTAGAAATGTTTCAAAAGCTAAAACTGTTTGAGTGCTGTCATGATGCAAAATTCTACACCTGATCCCAGGTGATGGGTCATCGTCAAAATGCAGGCACACTTCAGATGTGACATAAAACTACCTTCAGCCCTGGTGCATATGAAACATAAATGAATTTTATGTTTAGACTTGGGTTCCAGCCTCAAGATTTCTCATTATGTGTATACAGATATTCTGAAAACTGTGGAAAAATCCCAAACTCTTCTCATCCCAAGGGATAAGAATGTTCTACCTGTGCTAGTATGGTCACATGTTTTAAGTATAAAAATATCAAGCAGCAATAGAAAAATGCCATATATCAAGAATGACCCAGAACTGTCAGGCTAGAAGAGCAGGAGGATCTTATTTGGCCTTGAAGAATGGGTAGGATTTGGATAAGGAGGAAAGACATCTGGACTGGGTGCAGGAGGATGGCCATGGCCAGGAGCAAAAGTCAGAGATGGGAGAGTATAAACCTACTTGAAGTAAGAAAAATGTTCATTTTAGTTCATTTAGCTCTCTTTTGCCGCTGTGACTAAAACAACTGTCAAGAACAATTTTAAGGAGGAAAAATTTATTTGGTGCTCAAAGTTTTAGAGATCTCAGTCCATAGACATTCCTCAGGGCTTGAGGTGAGGCAGAACATCATGGTGGAAGAGTATGATGGAGAGAACCGGCTCGTATGAGGATTAGGAAGCAGAGAGAGAACCCATTTGCCAGATACAAAATATATACTCCAAAAGCATGCCTCTAGGGACCCACTTCCTCCAGCCACACTCCACCTGCCTTCAGTTACCCCTCAGTAAACCAGTCAGGGGATTAATTCATCAACTAGGTTAGGCTCATCATGAGCTTTTGGGACACACCTCACATCCAAACCATAACAATGTCTTATATAAGTTTGTAGAACTATTAACCTGAATGATAATTTAGTGGCCCAAGACCTTAGATAGGATGTCAAGAATCTTGTACTTTTTTACCTTGTATGAGCCTATGACATATCAAGAGCAGAAACATCACTTTTGCACATTGTGTTCCTGGTAATGATGCTTAGTGAAAGTAATGAAAACTGTAACCAATGAGATATCAGGCATACTTTCTGGAATGGCAGTGATATCAAAACAGTGGATTATGGAAATTAGTATCCAGCAGAGTGAATGTAGGATATAATTAGAGAATTCATATTTCTGTTATGATGCTATATAGTCAGGTGTTAGGTAACACATACCTGATATCAGGTGTTGGAGACAATGGAATAGAAAAGAATATACAGATCCATTTTCTTATGTAGGACTGATTGTCAAGACTTAGTCTAAAATGATTTTAAGGTTCAGTGATCTAGGAGAAAAATACTACCATTAACACAATGAGTGAAGAAGATGGGCTAATTTGGTGGAGATGATGAGTTTAGCTGTAGACAAGTAAAACTTTAGGTCACAGAAGATATCTAAGCTTGTGCAGCAGCCAAGGAGAACAGCTCAGGGGAAGGATGAGAGCAGGAAATCTGAATTTGGGACTCATCCTGGCACACTTTAGATGATTCCAGAGTGTTTGTGTGTATTTTCAAATGATTGTTGAGCTATGAAACTGGCCACAGTCTTTAAGGAAACTTGTGAGGGAGTGTCCTTGCTCCACCATGCAGTTAGTATTCACAGGGGTCCTTGGGTGCTAGTTTATGACCATACCTGCATCTCGGGAATCCTTCAGGGAGTCTTATCCCATGCAGCCTGAGGGAATATTCTCACTCCTGGGTACTCACATGGAGGACGACATATCTAATTTAGTGTCTCACCACCTGCACATTGAAATCAGTATGCCAGATTATTGGCAATATATGATATATGTGCCTCTGCAGTCCTGAGCACATAAATGAAGCAACTCCTTGATCCTCACAATAATCCTGCAAGGTAGACATTGTCATCATCCCTGCTTTACAGGTGAGGTTCAGTTACTCTGGTGAGTGACAGGGGTTTCAGACCCAGGCAGCCTGACTTCCTACTCCACAAGCTTTTTTTTTACATTGCTGTGGTCCTTAGGATTAAACCCAGTGGCACTTCACCACTGAGCTACATCCCCAGTTCTTTTTAAATTTTTTATTTAGGGACTAAGTTGCTGAGGCTGGCCTGAAACTTGTAATCCTCCTGAGTTGCTGGGATTGCTCCCTGCCCTTCTTAACCACTGTAGCCTTCTTAACCCCAGTACCCTGCTGCCTCTCAACACACACCTGAGTTCAGGAATTGATCCTACAGGTGTCCTCAGCAACTGTGAGGGGCTTTCCTTTCACACCTGGTTAATGCCCTATGCCCTTTTAAATAAAGCTACTCTTTCTTTTAACTTAGTCTTGCTCATTTCCTTAGTTTACATTTTGAACAGTAAAACTCAAAAGCATTCTTTGGTTATTTCTGGTTCTCTGTATACATAGTTTTTCTGCATCATTTCTGGGAACTTGCAGGAGTTCATTCTTGGGGACGTCTCCTCTCTTTCCAGGTGTAAATGTAATGGACATGCCAGCGAGTGTGTGAAGAATGAATTTGACAAGCTGGTGTGTAATTGCAAACATAACACGTATGGAGTGGACTGTGAAAAGTGCCTGCCTTTCTTCAATGACCGGCCGTGGAGGAGGGCAACTGCTGAAAGTGCCAGCGAGTGCCTGCGTGAGTGCCCCTGGGCTCAGTCTGCCTATTGTCTTAAGGACTTCCAGAGGTAGAAGGAGGAACCGGCCTTTCTTTATTCCTCCCAGAAAGGAAAACTGTGAAAGGCGTATCCTTTCTGCAGTCTGAGAGTAGCAAATTGCATGTGTGTCAGAGGAAAATCATAGACAAAAGCAATTGACTGTGAAGATAAACAGGGATCATTTGTGTCTCCTTCATGAGTACCAGCACAGAAGCAGCAGCATCAAGGTTTGGAAATTTGCTTAGATTCAAATACTGGACCTACAGGTCCCACTAAAATATGCTACTCTTTTCTTTAATGCCCTTTAAAATACAACCTTCCTTCAATATTCAGTTCCACAACCCTCCTCAAATACTGAAATCTGCAGATGCTTAACTTCCTTGTGTAAAATGGCATAGTATTTGCATGTAAGCTGTGCACCCCCCTCCATATGCTTTTAAAATGAACTCTAGATTACTTCTGTTACCCCATACATTGTAAATGCTGTATAGGTAATTCTTATAATGGATCGTTTAGGTAATAATGACAGGAAAAAGATCTGTTTGTGTTCAATACAGACACTTTTTTTTTTTCCCCAAACACTTTTGATTGGCAGTTGTTTGAATCTCTGGGTTTCGAACCCACAGATACAGAAGGCTTATTACATTGTTCTTCCTATCAATGCTAATTTAATTTACTCAAGTGACAACTTGATTAGCATGTGTCAGGTACAGTGAATTCTAGACTAATCAAAAGATTATTTCTCAAACTTGTTTTTCCTTTATCTCACTAACAAGTACAGTGGGGAAAATTTTCCTGTTGCCACTGTGGAGAACTGGTATCTTTGGGAGGAAGAGTAGGTTCTGTAGTCTTGAAAAAGATAACATGTTATTTATTTCTTTATAGTGTTATGATTTATTCTGAACAGATAAAGAAAGAAACCTCCCAGGAAAGAAACCATGGAATCATCATTTGCCAAGGGATTAACACAAACAAACTTTTAAGACAGCCATGATGTTCTTTTGCCCTTACAAATATTTTTCATCATACTGTCTTGGGAATAAATGTAATACGAAAGAAGACACTGTGAACTTGCAGAAATTATTGGCAGAAACCTTGGGAAGGGTTTATTTTGACTCATGAGTATTTTCATTGATGTGCCTGGAGCAAATTTTCTTATTCATCTTTTCTTTCCCTCAAACAAATTCCAGACTTACAGATAAAATTCACAGCCTCCTCTAGCATTTCTGTGCACTTGGTGGAGCTTCTTTAATTCCATCACTGTATTGAAGTACCCAGTGTTGGAAGCTATATAATAAAGGCTGGCAAAAGACAAAAATGAAGTCCTCATAGCTTTGGAAAGTATTCTTCTTAATGGTATTATATTTCTGGTCCACACAGGAAATTATAAGAAAAGCAAGTGAAATATTGCCAGCTTACCACAGCCAGCAAACTGGCTGCTCTAGTTAAGAACTTTCAATGAAGAAATAAGTCAATTTGCTTTCCTCCTTGGTCTCTCTTCAACACCGTGGTGCTTCAAAGAGTGAAGTTTTGGGGTGTTGAGATAGGACTGCAGTCCTCTCAGGATGCTGAGGCTAGGGAAGAGAAAATGGTAGCTTCCTTCTCTCATACGAGCTGTTGTTGAGGGAGGCACAGATCTGCTTTTGCTCTGGGTTGGATCAGTGTGGACACAGATTGCTCTGCTTCATAGTCTCAGAGCAGCAGACCTCGTAGGTGGGATGGACTGATTGAGGGGTAATTGGGCAGCTTGAGGGAAGAGAAGGAGCAATAGAAGATGGAAAGGGAACTATACGACTAACAACAAAACTCAAATTATAGGTTTTGTGCTGTGATTCAAGTTTCTTAAGAAAAAAAAAAATGTTTTCAGTTGCAACACCACAAAAGAACTGATTATATGGAAGGGAAGGAAAAAAGAATATTCAAATATTTTTAAAAGGTTAACAGGTCCTGCTCTATCTAGAAATCAAACAAAACTTTATTTAGCACTCAAGATACTACTATATACTCTGGGCAGAATCAATAATTGGGAGAAAAATCACCTTAACATAAATGTTTCAAAGACTTTGTGACTAAAGACACTTGTTCTTAAAATATGGTTGTGCTTAACAGACAACCCTGTTGGAACTGTGGCTCCTGGGAGGTAGATGTGTCAGGAGCATCTATTCCCTTTAATTCTGCTCCATCCACAGAGGAAATTATCTTGGTTCATGCACCTCAGGTTTCCCAGAATGGATATGCAAGTAATCTGGCACTTGGAAAGTTAATGTCTCAATGTCTTTAAATTGCCTGAGGTCTAAAAAGGTAGAAGTGGTGCTTGTATGTAAATTGGCACCTTGTTCTTGGAGTTAGAATTGGAAATGAAGCATAAAGAGCCAGGAAAATTGTAGTTTGAGTTGGCTTTTACCTGTAAATGAATAGCTACCTGGAGGCAGATTATTTTCTGAGCATGGGAATTCCTTATATTTTATGATAACCCTATTTTTTAAAAATAAAGATGAATATTTCTTGGTTAGCTGATAATCTGGCTATATAAACTTTTTGTTGACATACTGGTTTTTTGTTTTATTTCTAAGGAACAGTGCATCTGGTGGTCATTCTTATTCTGTCACCACGTATCTCTCACAGACATGTGGGAAGTTATTGTTTGATTTTATTGACATCTTTTAAAATGCCATTCTTTAAAGTACATGGATCTGACACTACTCATGTGTCTTGCTTGACAGCCTGTGACTGCAGTGGCCGATCGCAGGAATGCTACTTTGACCCTGAGCTCTACCGTTCCACGGGCCACGGTGGCCATTGTACCAATTGCCGGGATAACACTGATGGTGCCCACTGTGAGAGGTGCCGGGAGAACTTCTTCCGCCTAGGGAACAACGAAGCCTGCTCTCCGTGTCACTGCAGTCCTGTTGGTAGGTGACAGCAGGGACCCATTTCACCCTGATGGATTGAGAGACAAGAGTTCCCTAATGCCCAGAAAGTAAAACTTGGCTTCCTGCGCATTTGAACAACCATCAGCGGAGGTGCACACATTACTGTAGCATGTAACAACTCAGAATCTACCTCTACCCCCTACCTTCACTGTCGTTAACCTTGCTGAGCTTTCGCATGCTCTCGTGATGTGTAGGAAAGTACGGGGTGGCCCAAGGAATGGTTCTGTAAATAATTAGCAACAGGGTCATACAGACCATTTGAACTTTGATGTAAAAGGATCTTTCTTGTTAATGATTTTGTTTGGTCTAATCTCCTTCAAGGGCCAGACTGTTTTCAGCATTTGGTGTGTGTCTAGAGGTGCACAGCACCCAGTCCACTCACCTTTTCAGGAGTTTAACAATCATTTTGTTGTATGTGCCTGTACATATCTAAGTTCTAAGCATGAGCCTTAAGGGGCCTGTGCTCACCTCCAGAGAAGTGACAGGTCTTATGCAGGTGTGCCGTGGCAGGCAGAGTGGTTCATAAGTGAGTAGAATCAACTTCGGGTATGTCTGGAAGATTAAATGTCAGGGAGTAAAAAGGGTGGGATTTTGAGAGATCATCTAGAGATCACACTTCGGTTGTCAGGCATTTTTTTTAGTTACCAGTTGTCTTTCTTTTGACACATTGATTTTACTTCCGTGTCTGGATTGGTGGTTGACGGTGAACTCATTAAACTTCAGGTTCTCTCAGCACACAGTGTGATAGTTACGGCAGATGTAGCTGTAAGCCAGGAGTGATGGGTGACAAGTGTGACCAATGCCAGCCTGGATTCCATTCTCTCACGGAGGCAGGATGCAGGTAAAATGTTCTCAAAGGTAGAGATGGGGAGTCGGGGTGAGTGGCTCAACGGTAGAGTGCTTGCTTAGAGTGTGCGAAGCCCTGGGTTCCATCCTCAGCACCACATAAAAAAATAAATAAATAACAAAGGTATTGTGTCCAACTACGACTAAAAAATAAATGTCAAAACAAAACAAAACAGAGACGGGGCAGAATCTATATATGGCCAGTCCATAACAGTAGATCTGTGACTTATTGGCAGTAGTGTGAACATTTTCCCCATGGTAATCATCAACAAGATTCAAGACTAGAAGTGGTGATGAGCTAGCTGCTCGGAGTTTGGTTCATACAGAATGAGCAGTTTCAATTCTAAGCTGATAAAATCCTGGACTGAAAAGGAAAGATGACTTTAGAGGTTCATGTTGTTCCATGTGTAGAATTGATTAACACGTAAAGCAAAGGTTGACTTAAGGGTGAAGTCTCTCCTTCCTTCTCTTCTCTCATGATTTTATTCTATTTTCCATCGAATAGGCCGTGCTCCTGTAATCCTTCTGGCAGCATAGATGAATGTAACGTGGAAACAGGAAGGTGTGTTTGCAAAGACAACGTGGAAGGCTTCAACTGTGAGAGGTAGCCCATTCTTTCTCCAGCTGTATCATTTTCTTATTGTGTTATCATATCTCAAGTAAAAAAAAAAATAATTGATTGCATTTTAATCTTTTTCAGATGCAAACCTGGATTTTTTAATCTGGAACCTTCTAATCCTAAGGGTTGCACCCCCTGCTTCTGCTTTGGGCACTCTTCTGTCTGTACAAATGCAGTCGGCTACAGTGTTCATTCTATATCCTCTACCTTTCACATTGGTAATTTAGACTTTATCCCCCAGTACCCCTAGGACTCTGAGACTGTAATTTAAAATATATTTTTGTTTTTTGAATTAGTAAGTCTTTAAGGGTTTTTGTTTGTTTGTTTTGCAGTACTGGGGATTAAACCCAGGAATATTCCACTCCTGAGCTATATCCCCAGCCCCCTCACCTTTTTTTTTAATATTTATTTTTTAGTTGTAGTTGGATACAATACCTTTATTCCACTTATTTATTTTTATGTGATGCTGAGGCTTGAACCCAGGGCCTCGCATATGCTAGGCAAGCACTCTACCACTGAGCTATAGCCCCAGACCCTCCCCAGCCCTTTTTATATTTGATTCTAAGAGAGGGTCTCACTAAGTTACCCAGGCTGACCTTGAACTTGACTCTTGCCTTTGCCTCCCAGGTGCTTGGGATTATAGGCATGTGCCACTTCACTCTCCTGTCTGAGAGTTTTTAATGGAGGAAACATTCCATGTTACTTAACATGCATGATTTTTCTTGTTTGGTCCTTTAATAGAAGTGTGTGTGTATGTGTGTGTGTGTGTGTGTGTATATATATATATATATATATATATATATATGGTTGTAGAGTTTACTATAGTGAGAAGTGAGTTCAAACGTTACATAAATAATATAGTGGTATATAGTTTAAGGAGCATAGCATACATAAGTACTATTATAGGAAACATTCATTGAAAATTTTTATTGATGACTGTGTGCAGGGTGCAACCATACCTGTGTGTGGGATTACAGAGGGCCCGGTTCAGGATGTTTGCCTTGTAACAGTGCTTGTATTTTCATCCTGTCTACAGATGAGGACGGGTGGCGCGTGGAGCAGAGGGATGGCTCTGAAGCATCTCTCGAGTGGTCCTCTGAGAGGCAAGATATCGCCGTGATCTCAGATAGCTACTTTCCTAGATACTTCATCGCCCCTGGTAAGTGAGGCTGGGAAGCAGTGTGACTTGCTGGGTGCATCTCTTTTGCCTCATTCTCATGTTCTTGTCCACCATTGTGTCTGCTTTCCAGCAAAGTTCTTGGGCAACCAGGTCTTGAGTTATGGTCAGAACCTCTCCTTCTCCTTCCGGGTGGACAGACGAGACACTCGCCTCTCTGCAGAAGACCTGGTGCTGGAGGGAGCCGGCTTGAGAGTGTCCGTGCCATTGATCGCACAGGGCAATTCCTACCCAAGCGAGACCACTGTGAAGTACATCTTCAGGTGAGGCTGCCTTCTTTGTAAAGTCGGGCGTGACCTGCATTGTGAAAGCAGTCTATCTATACTCGCCCCAGTGTGTCTTAAAGAACTTTTGGATGATCAAGGAGACCTTGAAGAAGGGAGCTTTCCTTTGTTTACCTTTCCCTCCTCCAGTTGTATTGTCAAACCAACAAATCTCCTTTCTGATTCAGTCAGATTGTCAGACCATTGCATTGTTGGTGGTATAAATGGATAAGATGAATGAGAAATGCTTTCCCGGCACCCAAGGTTATCCTTCAAAGGTTAAGGCAGCTCTTTCTATCTCCCCAGGCTCCATGAAGCAACAGATTACCCCTGGAGGCCTGCTCTTTCCCCTTTTGAATTTCAGAAGCTACTAAACAACTTGACTTCTATCAAGATCCGTGGGACATATAGTGAGAGAAGTGAGTTGTAATGTCATTTAGAAGAATTGTTTCAGACAATTGGGTAGAAGGATTCCTGATAATGTAGAGTTTCTCTTTTCTACTACTGTAATACTGATTATAAAGAAATAGTATAAACTACCCTATTATACATGAATTATATAGAAAATAATATAGTTTTAACCTACTTTCATGGACCTAGAGAAAATTCACTAAAATTAATAAGTAGAATTCTTTTGTCACTAGAAGTCAATTGAAGTTATTGTAAATATAGATTTTCTTTAAAAACCTAATAATTCTACTGGTTCAAGATTGCTTACTCTTCATTTTTCTTTATTTGCTGCTCTGTAATTATCAAGTCTTGAATCATTGGCTAAATTATGAAAAATTATAGATTATTCAGTAATCATTTGCTGTAATTTTAAATAAGAATTTAATAATGTTTTAAATTATTTTCCTTTAATTTTTTTTTTTTTTAATGAGGTACTTCTCTAGGAAGGTGAAGCTATTCGAAGGAGATTGAGTCAGTGTGGTGGGATGATGTTGACAGTGCCATCAGTGGCTTAGACGTATTGATTTTTGAGATGCTTGTGTGAATATCCAGATGAAAATCACTTGGGAGTAATTAGAAATATGAACCTAGGCCCCAGGAAGAGGTTAGAACAATAGATCTAGATTTAGAAGTCTGTCAACATATGGGCAATAATTTTTAAATTTGGAAATGTGATACAAAATATAGAAAGAGAAAGAGGATGGAGTCCAGGAAACACTGTTAATTAAAGGTCCATGCTCTGAGACCCAGAGGAGAAAAGAATTTTACAGAGGATAAACAGGTTAGATGATAGCACCACTGGGTTTTAGATTGGCTGATTAAAGAATCATTGGCAAGGGACTTTTTGTCGATTGTAGTTTTGATTTTTTTTTCAGAAGTGTTGAAACTAAATTTAGATTGCAGTGCTTTGAAAAGTAACTGAAGGGAAGAAGAAAAATAAAGACTATTCTTTAGAGAAGTTTGGCTGTAAGGGAAGGGAAAGAGCCGCACTGTAACTTGGGAGTAGGAACAGGACTGAAGAGAGTATTTTTAGAATAGGGAGACTTAAGAATGTTTAGAGTTGGAGGCACGTTAGCCTGAGGAGGCTTATCTCATGATCTGACTGGGCAAAAAAGCCATAAATGTATGAAAGGTTAAATTAAGCCAGTAATATAAGAGGTGTGCTTCTACCTTAGGTGGTCAGTTTCCAAGTGAATTATGTAAATTGCAAGCCATCTTTTGTAACTTGGATGGGGGAAATAAAAAAACCTACTTAGAGCAGAGACTGCTGAAGGCTAAGGTGGAGTGGAACCTGAGTGGCGGTCACCAAGGCCCACTTTGCCCAAAGAGCATTGCTGCCAGAGACACTGCCAGATGGCATGAACATTGGTCTCAGTTGATTTAAGGCTTCTTCTGTTTTCATTCTGAAAATGGGAAGGCATTGCAGCATATGGCATGATGGCTTTGGAATGATTGTGCACATTAGACCTAATTTACTTGATCTTTACTATTCTGTGGAGGGCAAAAAATACAACCTAAGCGTACCTGTACAGGTGCTTCCCTTCTTTCTTATCCTTGAATCTGTAGTTTCTGCCTGTTTTTATGGCAAAAGAGCAAAACACTGCTTAATTGCTATAGGCTTGTACTGTTCTTTCCTTCTACACTCTTGCTTGAATCTCTTCTTGCCACAAATGATTGTCCAGTGCTTTTATTTTTCACATTGGTGATTGGGAGAACTCAAAAATCTGACAAATCTGTGGTGTGTGTGTGTGTGTGTGTTTAAAAAGTGTTGAACTAAATTTAGCACCCAGTACCACATGGTTGTCCTGAATGCTATTTTCTAATTATCTTCTTCAGCTGATAAATTAAGCCAGTGACCAATTTTCTTTGGAATTTGGCTACTCTTGAGTGACTGACTTTTCACAACCTTTTGGGGAATGGAAAGCACTTCAGTGATTCTCTCTTCCACACCGTATACACAGGTGCTGGATATCTGGATGATGTCACCCTGGCAAGTGCTCGTCCTGGGCCTGGGGTCCCTGCAACTTGGGTGGAGACCTGCACTTGTCCAGTGGGTTATGGAGGGCAGTTCTGTGAGATGTGTCTCCCGGGTTACAGAAGAGAAACTCCGAGTCTCGGACCATACAGTCCCTGTGTGCTTTGTACCTGCAATGGACACAGTGAGACCTGTGACCCTGAGACAGGTGAGAGAATGATTGACAGTTGCTGGGCCTGACTTTTCTTTGGTGGTTGGGTAGGAAATGCTCATTGTCTTATGTTCTTGGACTCTTGCCTGTCCTCTCACACTTGCTGTTTGAATAGGTGTCTGTAACTGCAGAGACAATACTGCTGGCCCCCACTGTGAGAAGTGTAGTGATGGGTACTATGGAGATTCGACTGTGGGCACCTCTTCTGACTGCCAACCTTGTCCATGTCCTGGGGGCTCAAGTTGTGCTGTTGTTCCCAAGACAAAGGAGGTAGTGTGCACCAACTGTCCGACTGGTACCACTGGTAAGTCTGTGCTTTCTGTCTTGTTCAGTGTTCCATCTTAGAAGACTTGGGGGAAAGGGCTTCTGGGGGGGGGGGGTTGCCCCCCCCCGCCCGCCCCCCCCGCGCCCCCCCGTTTTTGGAGTATTTTGTTTAGTTCAGTGATTGTGGTTTTCCTCATAGGAAGAGGTTTTGTAGGAATCAGGTTGATTGTGGATTCATAAAATGCACATCAGATTACTAATTATGGCTAACATCTGCTAAGTATTTGTGGCCAAGAGCTGCTCTAAGCACTGTACACACACCTCCTCATTAAACCCCATAACTGTAAGGTTGCTTTACCATTTCTCCCATGATATGACAAGAGCACTGAGGCACGGAGGCATGGAGTCCCATGTCCATGGCTGCGTGGCCAGTTGTGGTTGAGCTGGGATTCCATCCCAGGCAGTCCGGCTCCAGAGATAACGATCACTATAGCATACTCACTCTTATAAGATGAGAAGTCAAACTTGACTTTTAGTTTGCTTGATTGTCCTAGAATTCTTGATATAAAGAGTTGATTTTAAAATTCTTCCTTAAAATAGTTTATATTAATACATCAGAGTCCTTTACATTTGGTTGAGTTTTTTGTTTGTTTGTTTGTACTAGGGATGGAACCTGTAGTACTCTACCACTGAACCACATCCACAGCTCTTTTTATTTTTTATTTTGAGACAGGGTCTCATTGAGTCAACAAGGCTCACCTCCAACTTTTCATCTTCCTTTCCTCAAGCCTCCCAAGTGGCTGGGAGTACAGGCGTGTGCCACCATGTTTGGTAGAAAATACATGTGTATTTTATAGCTTTGAATAGGTCCCTCTGCTGGTCTATGTGTTTAGTTTTTGTGTTGTTTTCAAAGTATTATAAAACTTTATCTTACAGAGCTACTCAGACAACTGCCCATGCTGACCAGCTGGGCAGACTGAGGCTCACTTCAGGCCTTCCCCTTGCCCTGCCACTCCACCAGCACCATAATGGAGAGGTTCTGGCCAGCCTTCTGGCACAGCCTTTGACCCTGTTAAAGGCTTTTCATCTAGAAAATACTGCCACTGTATCACCAGGAAACATCACAACACGGCACCTTTCCGTGCTGCACTGACTCTGCACCATGGGAACGGCCGCACAGAATGATTACTCATTTGCTTAAGGCAATTGAGCAAATGAGGGAAATTAGTGTCAAATTTCATATTTCTGACTTTCTTGTGTTTCTTTATAATTTTATTTCAAACTGATAATGCAAACATAAAATTGTATATGTTAATGGGGTACCATGTGAGTTTCAGTGTGTTTGTGTGTGTGAGTGCACACACATGCATCAGTGTCTTACTTTTTTTCTTTAAAGCGAATGACCCAACAGATTTCTCTAGCTTCAGTCCCCAGCACCCACTCTTGAACCTGCACTCTAGGCCCCAGACCTCTTGGGCTTCTTTTAGTGCCTCAAGTGTGCTGGCTGCTAAAATCACACGTGGCATCCTTCTACATGTGACTTAGTATTTAACATGGTTTTCAGAGGTAAAGAAATAGCAATGATCCCTTTTCCTGCAAACTTGAGTGCATGTCTTTAGAAATACAAAAATGAGGAAAGGATGGTCCCTACTCCTCAGAGGCTAAATTTATGGAGGAAAACAGATAATTGAATACAGCACGGTTAGTTCAGATAAAAGAGCGTACACCAGAGTGGTGGGGGAAGAAAGGACATCTCTCCTCTCTAGGGGAGGGAAGATAAGGAAAATCAAGGTTCAGAAAAGCGAATCACTTGCCCAGAGTTAAATCATACAGTTAGGACTTGAACCTGGATGCTAACTTTAAAAAAAAGGTTGACTAGTTGTAGCTGCCAGAGAGTATTTTGGAGTTTTCACAGACTACTAGATGTTTCTATTTTAGCTTTTCTACATAATCTTAGTTTAAGTTTTATTCAAATCTAGTTTCAAAACTTTTAAAATATGGGTCATATCTGAAATAGCGAAATTATCTGATGAGAAGCATAACTGGAATGCCTGCTGCCTGGTGCTGATCTGGAGATGGATTTGGGTAGGAGTCTGGTGGCTGTTTACATCAGGGCCACGTGGCTTCCCCTCTTACCCCACCTCCACCCACATTTTTTGTTCAGCTTATCAGTTGGTGTTTGTCAAATCCAGGGGTCAGTTTTCAGTCCTCATCTTACCTGGTCTCCCAGCAGTGCTGGACACCATTGACCACCCTCTGCTTCAGACATTGTCCCCTCCTGCCTTCCATGCCACATCACTACTTGTTTTCCTTTCTTCCTTTCCTCTGTGTATCCTTTGTTCCCCCGTTTCTCAACAGGGGCTTTCATGTTAGCTTGACCTGGAGGTAGTCAGAGCTCCTCTTTGGGATTCAAAAGCCCCTCAGTGCCTATGACTGCAATTTCTGTATCTCTAGCCCTGAACACCAGCTACCTGTTGCCCATCCCTGCCTGGGTGATTGATGGGGTGGACACATCTGTTTGTCCCTTCATATCCACTCTCTGTCCCCTATGGATGAGACCTGTATGTGCTACATCAGAGCCAGTTTCCACTAGCGTTCTGAAACAGCAGAAAGCACATACAGGTGATCAAAGAGAAGGAGGAGAGTGAGGGCAGGGTATTTATTCTGAGCCCCCTTTCTGTGGGGTCCTCTGTGTTGGTGACTCAAAAAAATTTAGCTCTTGACAGCTGGCCTTCTCCAAACAGCTCTATCTTTAGGCTCTGGTACCTGGTTGGTCCTTCTACACCTGAGAGGCAGGTTCTGGAGCCTGTTCGAGGTGCTGCACTATCCTTGTGTCTTCCAACACTCCCCAGACTCTGTAATGGCACCTTTATTAAACTCTGCCCAAGTCTTGCTAATTTGAATGTGCCAACTATTTTCTGCTGTGATCTTGATTCACATAGCTAAAGGAATCCCCAAAGTAAGCAAATTAAAGGTAAATCTTTGTCTCTTTTTTCCTCCAATCCCAACCCTGTTCTTTTCCTAATCTTCTTCATTTCATTAAATATACTACCATCTACCTAGTTGTTCAAGTTAAAATCCTAGGGCTTGTCCTTGATCCTTTGTCTTTCATTTCCCAGAAACAGCCTGCAGGTCTTAACTGTCTCAGATCTGATCACTTTCACCACCTCCCCTGCCACCATCCTGGTTCCAGCTGCTGTCATCTCTCACCTGGAATTGCCTCCGCCACTTCACCTGCTCCCCTAAGAATCATTCTCCATGTGGAGGCCCAAATAATCCTTTTTAAGTGTAAATCAGATCACAGCACTTTTAAAACCCCAGGAGCTTCTCCCTGCACTTAAATTGAAATCCAGATGGCAGAGTCCCCTGCATGGGTTGGTTCTTAACTGCTTCTGCTTTGACTGGTTTTTCTGAAACACTTTTCCCTCTGACTTTCCATCTTCACCCCTGTGTTTCCTCACAAAGAGACTTTCTCTTATCCAATATAAAGTCACTGTCACTCTTACTGTATCACCTTATCATGTTTGCGCTCTTTTAACTTTTTTTATGCTTATCCCTATCTGAAATAGTCTTGTTTATTTGGATGTCTGGGTGTTGGTTCCCCCAGCTGCAGCAGGTTTCAGGAGAGCAAGGACCGCCTCATTGGCATCGTCCTGACAACCTAGAACAATGCTGGCCTTCAGCAGATGCTCTGTAAATATTTGTTGAATAAATGAACATGCAGTTCTCCAAAACCTCTAGGCTCATTTGGACCCTTTTGAATACAAAGATAGAAAGAGCCTTTGCACTTTTAATACCTGAGTAATGATGATCAGAAACTAGAAAAGGAAGGATGAGGAGCTGGGAGTTTAGTATCAGGGGAAAGAGCCCGTTTCTGGCTTTGCTTCTCTTTCTGTCATTTATTTGGTTGTGGGCAAGTTATTTAACCTGTCTGTGCCATTAGCTCTGATAGGAGCAGGTGGCAGTGTATGATTTCTAAGTTCTCTTCAAGAAATCTCTGATTCTTTATTAGTTGACACTGCTTGACTAGAGACAGCAAGGGCCTGTTATATGTTGAGAGAATGATCCTCCTCAACCTGTCATCTGGGACACCGAGGGTATTGAGAGTGGCACTCCATCTTTTTTAGTAGTGTCAGCCAAAACTGACATAAATATGCATTGCCATGCCTTGGGACTGGAGAGGTTCATGATCCTTGGGCCTGACTCATTTACAGAGCACTTTTTAATACATGATTTTGGTTAATTATCAGAACATTTGTAGTGAGGCAGGCAAACCAGAGCCTGTCTTTCTCATGGGGAAGTGGAGATGTGCACAGGGTCACTCCACTGATCTGGCCCAGTGCTGGGGCTGCAACTCAGGGCTCCTACCCCCCACTGTACTGTATCGCCTTGCATCTGATGGCTGGACTACACTGTTTGTGACCAGATAACTGAGCACCAGACCTTTCTATCATAACATCAGATTGTCTCATCCCCAGGTAAGAGATGTGAGCTCTGTGATGATGGCTACTTTGGAGACCCCTTGGGTAGAAATGGCCCTGTGAGGCTTTGCCGCCTCTGCCAGTGTAATGACAACATTGATCCCAATGCTGTGGGAAATTGCAACCGCTCAACGGGAGAGTGCCTGAAGTGCATCTATAACACTGCGGGCTTCTATTGTGACCGGTGCAAAGATGGATTCTTTGGAAATCCCCTGGCTCCCAATCCAGCAGACAAATGCAAAGGTAATCAGCCATTGGTCAAATCCTGTCACAGGTATACACCTTTGTTCTGCAGATTCGTTGTGTGTCTCTTTAAATACACATAGTTGTCTGGTTTAATGCAGCCCTGTCCAATAAAAATACAGTGTAAACCGCTTGCATAATTTAAAAATTTCTGCCATCACATTTAAAAAAAATTATAATTGTAGATGGACAATATGCCTTTATTTTATTTGTTTTTGTTTTTTAAAATGTGGTGCTGAGGATCGAACCCAATGCCTCACATGTGGTAGGCAAGTGCTCTGCCGCTGACTACAGCCCCATTCCCTAGCCATCACATTTTTTTTATTTTTAAAAATAAAACAGGAGAAAGCAGTTTTAATATATTTTATTTAAACTAATGTAGCCAACAATTATAATTTCAACAAATAATTAATAAAAAATCATCAATGAGATACATGTTCTTTTTCACACTAAGTCTTCAAAATCCAGCATACTTTCACATTTACAGCACCTCTCCATTCAGACTGGCCACCCACGTTACAGGTGCTCAACAGCCACATGTGCCCAGCAGCTTCCATATTGGAAGCTGTGTGGGTGGCTCTGTATTTGGTCTTTCTCTCAGGTGATTTCCATCCTTTGCTCTCTCTCTTCCTTCCCTAGCTTGCAGTTGCAATCCATATGGCACTGTGAGGCAGCAGAGCAGCTGTAATCCTGTGACCGGTCAGTGTGAGTGTCTGCCTCATGTGTCCGGCCGGGACTGTGGTACTTGTGACCCTGGCTTCTACAACCTACAGAGTGGACAAGGCTGTGAGAGGTGAGGCATCGGTGATAGGTGGAAGTCATATTTGCTAATTTTGTATTTTAAGAAGTGAATTTTTATGTTATAATTAATAGTGGCTTGATTTTGTTCAGGAATGATTTGAGTGCCTGATACAGAAAATCACCCTTAAGAGTAATACTGAACAGTTGTCAATAGGCTAATGGGACAAAGAAGTGGCCCCAGCTGTGTCAGAATCAACTGAGCAATGTCTTAATAAAGTTATAAATTACCAGGTTCTTTCTGTGAAACTTAGAATCTGACCCTCCAGGGTTGCAACCTGGGAATTCCTATTTTCAAAGCTCCTGGTCAGGGCTGATGCAGTACCAGTGTGGAGAGCCACTGGTATTGGTTAAGCTAGAAAAAGAGGTTCTAAGTAGCTCTCATAAAAATAACTTGAACCTTGGGGGCTTAGTAACCCTTAACATTCTGTATTAACAACCTTTAAACATCCTGTTTTCTGATACACATTGAATCAATATTATCCTGAAACAAAGCCACAAAGTTTTGCTTAAAGTCTGCTTTTTTCCTACCTTAGGAGTGTCCTGTGTTCATTTTCAGGTGCAATTGCCATGCTTTGGGTTCCACCAATGGGCAGTGTGACATCCGCACCGGCCAGTGTGAGTGCCAGCCGGGCATCACCGGTCAGCACTGTGAGCGCTGTGAGGTCAACCACTTTGGGTTTGGACCTGAAGGCTGCAAACGTAAGACATGTTGGTGGCATGTAATGCCAAGTCTCCCCTGATTCCAGTAGCACCTGAGAGAAGAAAGGACTTTGACAGCCTCTGTTCAGCCCTCTGGTTTATGGTCAGGGCCATTCCTAAAGCATCATAGATGCTTTGTTCCATGAATATTCCTTGTCTAAAACTCTAGAAATTAAGGACGTCCCTGATTTCTTTGCCAACTACCTTATTCATATTTCTTTTTAAATGTTTTTTATTCTTTTCAATCTTCTATTTTTTTTCCCCAAAGAAAGCTCCCCCTTGGATTCCTGAGCTTGCTCACTATGTTTAGTGGAGCCTTTTTTATTGGTCCCATTCTTAGTGCCGACAATGAAACAGTAAAGGATCCTGTTCGCAGTGTGCTCATTGACTTACTGGCCGTGGTTGCTTCCCACCCTGGGGCCCCTTCTGGGACGGTTGCATATAAACATCTGCTTCTCTTTGGCATAAACACTTGCCTGGAATTAGGCCTTGGAACAATTTGGTGTTTTTGCTTTCTGAATTCCTTCATTTCTCCTGTGGAATGTAGCATAAGTCAGTGACTAAGTTCGGAGAACAAAGTGAGTAAACAAACTATAAAATAATGCAAGAGAAGCATTAGCATTTGGGTTTTCTCATTCTTCAGAGAAATGTTAGGCAGTGGAGAGGTGAAGATAGATGAATTCTTGAAGTGCATGAAAGGTGCACTTATTAGTTTAATAATTTCTGTAACTATTAAATAACATGAAGCATGTCCTAAAGGATGCGTGTTTACAAATTAATCTCATTTGTTCTTAACTTTGACCTCTTTTTTACTTTAAGGCTTATTTTTACTTTAAGATAAAATTATCTATCTTCTCTGATCAGTGGACTTAACCATTTAGTTTCTCATAAATAGGTCTAGAATTAGCTTATTGTTACCAGTCTGAGTTAAGGAAATGTTCCCATCCTCCTATTGCTTATTATGTACTGTTTCCCCTACTGCAGCTTGTGACTGTCATCCTGAGGGGTCTCGTTCACTCCAGTGCAAAGATGATGGTCGCTGTGAATGCAGAGAAGGCTTTGTGGGAAACCGCTGTGACCAGTGTGAAGAGAACTATTTCTACAATCGTTCCTGGCCTGGCTGCCAGGAATGTCCAGCTTGTTACCGGCTGGTAAAGGATAAGGTAAGCTGTCAACAGTGTGTTCATTCGTTCGTTCCTTCGTTCAGCAGATGTTGGATGAAAACTTAGCACACACACAGCTCCAGAGAAAAAGTGGTAAACAACATAGACATAATCCCTCTTCTCAGATGCTTATGTTCTAGTCAGGAGGGAAATAATAAAAAATTAAAAAATAAGCAAGACATATTGAGATAAGTGCCAGAAAGAATATAAACAGAGTAACTGTTGGAAACTACTTTGTATAAGACCTCTTTCAGGAAATTCCTGTGAAGTGAAAGCTTCAGAATGAGAAGGAATGAGCCAAGTAAGAAGGAATAAGTGAAAAGGAATAAGCCAAGTAACCACAGGTTGTTCCCAACAAAAGGAACCTGGCGTGGGAGGGCCTGGAAGCCAGGGCGGCTGGCGCCTCCTGATTGAAGGGAGAGTAGCTTGGGACAAGCCTGGAGTGTTTGGTAGGGACAGGTTATGTAAGACCATGGTGACCCTAGAATAGAGTTCACACCTTATTCCAAATCCAGTGGGAAGGCACTGGAGAACTCTTCCAAGCTTGGGAATCCAGTTTGCATTTGAAGAGGAGCACTCTGACAACTATGATTAGGATGGTGATAGGTTGGGGGCAGAAGAGGAACCACCATCCTGTTGGAAAAATGCCTGCGTTAAGGGCATGACTGAGGGAGAGGAGAATCAAGGATGGATCCTGGGTCTTCTGCTTGGGGTAGCTAGATATGCTATACACTGAGATGACTCAGGGAGAACAGAATTTAGAGGTCTGGTTTTGGATGTTAAATTCGAGATACTGTCAGAGATAAGTGGAAAAAGCAAGAAGATCATCTACCACTCGGGAAAGGACAGAACTGAAGAACTGTCTGCAGGTGATGTTTAAAGTCAGGGAGTGACACTCCGGAAGGCTTCTTTTTGAAGCCAGAGAAACAAAAGGAAAAGTATCCATCACATCTATTTAGCACGTACTCACAGAGTGCCTCTGAAATTCCCACAGTAAGTACAGTGGAGCTCATTCCCTTTTCTCTTCCATCATGTTTAGGTTGCTGATCATCGAGTGAAACTCCAGGAATTAGAGAGTCTCATAGCAAACCTTGGAACTGGGGATGAGATGGTGACAGATCAAGCCTTTGAGGACAGGCTAAAGGAAGCAGAGAGAGAGGTTATGGACCTCCTTCGTGAGGCCCAGGATGTCAAAGGTACACATAATTAAATGTAAATTTGTGATGTAGTTCCTAATTCATTTAATTAGTAAGGTTCTATAAAATTCTTTCTCAATTTTTAAACTACTTGTACAATATGTATTTTTACAGAATAGTATTTCAAAAAACAATCATCAATTTAATGCTTTAAGATATAATAGAAGGGGGCTGGGGTTGTGGCTCAGCGGTAAAGCGCTCGCCTAGCACGTGCGAGGCACTGGGTTCCAAACTCAGCACCACATAAGAAGTAAAATAAAGGTATTATGTCCATCTACAATTAAAAAATAAATATTAAAAAAAAGACATAATAGAAGGTAATTTTCCAATGTATCAAAAATATTTGCTATTCAGATTTAAATGTTTCATAGATTTGTTCCATTACACCATGTCTTTAAATGTAGTTTGAAAGTAATTGATGAATTATTTTTTTATGTACTGCTTCCTTAGTAAGGACTCTCATAAAAAAAAAAAAAATCATGATCTTTAAGCATTGACTGAATGTCTAGCTACTGACTATGCAACAGGTAGTAAACATTACAAACTAGTGCCTACTTAGGAAATTTTTCATTTGATTAGCAAACAGATGTACTAGTAACATTATAGAAAAGCATAGGCTTTCATCTTATGTTATCGTTAAGGTCCTTTGCAATTAAATTAGTCATTTGTACATTATCTGATGAGATTGATAACAAAGAAGAGATGGGCTTAAGATGTAGGAAACAATTTAAAATATTTTATATACTTTAAGAGACAACTTAGTTTTTTAAACATTAAGGTATTTTGAATAATTGATTGTTGGCTTTAAAAAAATCACTTCAAAGTCTTGTTCTTATTTCTGACTCTGTGAATTAAGCATTTTTTAAATATTTATTTTTTAGTTTTAGGTAAACACAGTATCTTTTTTGTTTTTATGTGGTGGTGAGAGGATCGAACCCAGTGCCTCATGCATGCTAGGTGAGCACTCTAGCGCTGAGCCACCACTCCAGCCCTGAATTAAGCATTTTCAAACTCAGGCAAGTCCTTTTTGCACTCTTTGAGTACCATAGTAAGCCAGGCACTTGCTCAACACACCAGTAATGAAAAGATAGAAAGACTCAGCTCTATCAGGCCAGCTATGTTATGGGGCTTCCCATCGCTGATATGCAAGAGTTCACAGATGAACAAAATAAATGTACATTAAAAGTATACTTGAGACGGCAATGATTGACTTCACCATTGAGCTTATAAATCTGTCCATTTGGAGTTGCATGAAGAGGCCTTCCTGTCATAGGTCAACACAAACAATACGTTTCTCCTTTCTTCTTTAAAATATTTCAAATGTATAGAAATTTTACTTTATGTGATTACTGGATAAGAGGAGGAAGTAATTGAGTGTATCTCGTTTGGGCCAGTTTGATTTTTATATGAGAGTCCAGACTTTGTTCCATAGGTCAGTTTTTAGAGATTGAAAATACAATGAGAGATCGATAGCTTATTTTAACATAAAGTGTTTATGTGTTTGTTTTGGTTTTAGATAGGACAGCTGATTCACATCTATCTTGCCATATATATGAGAAATTGAATATGGGGTTATATCCAAAGTGCTGATCAGTCCAGCAAAGAGCAGGGGTCTAGTACTCAGCTCTGGTGCAGCACTGGCAACCACGGGAGTAAGTCAAAGAGCAAGAAAGGAAGGGACCCAGCTTGGGCACCTACATTCCAAGCATCTTGATGCAGCCCAGCTATCCATAACTCTCTTTGGCCCCAATTGCTACCTTTTTCCCTCTGCCCGGGAAGGGAATTAAGTTGGATGGAAACTCTGATGGGAGCCATCATACCTCTCTGAGCCAGAGCACAGTGGGCTGCTGCGTCTGAAAGCTCTAGGAGCTTCCTAGTCAGGCTGGGGCTAGTGTCACCTTCCCTAAGATCTCAGTTATGAACAGAGTTCCTGGATGCCCTTGCCTGCCGAGGTTCAAACTAGCCAAGAATGAAAGTGTCTTCGTAATTATTTATCTTTTTTAATCCCCTAGTATTCATTTGTAGTTGAAACTTGTGTTTATTGTACAAATTTAAAAGGAGATTATACGATGCATTAAGTCTGACAAGTAGATACTTGAAATTGGAAGGCATTTGAAGCAAACCTACCAGTTAGGTTATCTGTTCCTTTTTCAGATATTATTGTTTCTGTAAAGAACTGGACAAAAAATATCAAGAATTATTGCATTCTTGAAGGTCTAAAGGGAGGGGGCTTCTCAGATGTTACTGGCTGCATCTCCCTCCTAAACCTAAATGATTTTCCCTGATCTAAGCTTGTTTGTGTTCTTAGTACTTTCTTAAGATTATTCAGGAATTGCCTAAGTGACATTCCAGGCAGGACCCCTGTGTGTAGTTAGGCCAAGGTTGTGCAATAGATCACCTTTGCACATATATTTGGTGGCCCTGCTTCAAATGCTGTTTTCTGAAACTATTAATCTCATTTGTTTTTAACTTTGACCTCTTTTTTACATTGAGCATCATGCTGAAGTAAGAACTGGTTCATTTTTTAAAGTTAAATTTATTTATTAAAACCATGTAAACTGTACATACTATGGGTTAATATAATTATTTGATATATGTGTAGATGATGTGGTATTTAAATCAAGTTAAACTTCTCTGTCTCCTCAAACATATTATTACTTCTTTAGGGTAAAGTCTTTCAAAATCCTTTCTTCTGGCTTTTTGAACTGTACTGCACATTATTGTTGTCTATAGCCACCCTGTTTTGCTATACCCACCAGAACTTCCTGCTCCCAGGCAACTATGTCTTAGTACCCATTATCAACTTTTCATTATTCCCCCCACCCACTACTCTCTCCATCCTCTGATAACTACCATTCTATGAGATTAACGTTATTCTTGTTTTTTGTAGTGCTGGGGGACTGAACCCTGGGCCTTGCATATACTAGGCAAGTGTTCCATGACTGAGCTATACCCCCAGCTCTTTTTATTTTATTTTGAGACAGAGTCTCACTGAGGTGCTCAAATTTGTAATCCTCCTGAGTTGCTGGGATTACAGGTGTGCACCAGCACGCCTGGCAAGATCAACTGTTTTGCATTCCACATATGAGTGAGATTGCATGGTAATTGTTTTTCTGTGCATGGCTTACTTCATTTCACATAATTATCTCTAGCTCCATCCATGTTGTTTTAAATGACAAGATTTCATTCTTTTTATGGCCAAGTAATATTCCATTATGCATACCATATTTTCTTGTCCATTCATTGGTTGACAGACATTTTGCTTGTTTCTATCTCTTACTCATGGTGAACACAGACAGCTCTTACACATACTGGTTTCTATTTTGTTAGAGAGATAAACATTGTTGCACTATGTATCTGGTTTTATTTATATTTTGAACCCAGGGGCTCTTTACTACTGAGTCACATCCCCAGCCCTTTTTGTTTTTTTTTTTTCTTTTGAGATAGAGTCTTGCTAAGTTGCTTAGGGCCTCACTAAGTTTCCTAGGCTGGCCTTGAACTTGAGATCCTCCTGCCTCAGCCTTCCTGAATAGCTGGGATTACAGCATGTACCACCATGCCAGGCCTGTTATTAATTTGGGGGGAGAACCTCTATACTGTTTTCCATAATGACTGTTCTCATTTACATTCTTACCAACAGTGTGTAATGGATCCCTTTTCTCCACATCCTCATCAGCATTTATTATCTTTGGTCTTTTGGTTATAACCATTCTAACTGGGGTGAAATGCTGTCTCACTGTGTGTTTTTTTTAATATCTTATTTTTTATTTGTAGTTGGACACAGTACCTTTATTTTATTTATTTATTTTTATGTGGTGCTGAGGATCTAACCCAGGGCCTTGCACATGCTAGACAAGCGCTCTACCGCTGAGCCACAGCCCTAGCCCCTCACTGTGGTTTTAATTTGCATTTCCCTCATGATTAGTGAAGTTGAATTTTTTCTCATATACCTGTTAGTCATTTGTATGTCTCTTTTGAAAATGTCTATTCAGGTCAAGTGCCCATCGTTAAATCAAGTTATTTGGGGTTTTTTGCTATTGAATTTTTGGAGTTCTTATATACTATAGATACCAAGCCATTGTCAGATGGATAGTTTGCACATATTTCCTCCCATTCTGGAGGTTTTCTGTGCAATCTGTTGATGATTTCCTTTGCCATGCTTTTTGAGTTTGCTCTAATCCCATTGGTTTATTTTTGTTTTTGTTTCCTCTGCTTTTGGGGTCTTGTCCAAAAAAATTCTTCCCCATTCCAATGTCCTGAAGCATTTCCCCTGTGTTTTCTTCTAGGAGTCTCATTGTTCAGGTCTTACCTCTAAGTCTTTAATCCATGTGAGTTGCTTTTGTAACTGATGAGAGGTAGGGTTTCATTCTTCTGCATGTGGATATTCAGTTTCTCCAGCACCATTATTAAAGACTGTCCCTTCTCCAACATGTGTTCTTAGCAACTTCACCAAAAAGCAGTTGGCTGTAGTTGTGGAGTTTATTTCTTGCTTTCTATTCTGTTCCCCTCACTGGTCAGTTTTGAGTATGACTTAATGATTTTTTTTTAGGGGAGGCAGGTACCAGGGATTAAATTCAGGGGCACTCAATCACTGAGCCCCATCCCCAGCCCTATTTTGTATTTTATTTAGAGTCAGGTATTACTGAGTTGCTTAGTGCCTCACCATTGCTGAGGCTGATTTTGAACTCACAATCCTCTTGCCTCAGCCTCCCTTGCAGCTGGGATTGCAGGCATACACCACTGCACCCAACTACTCAATGGTTTTTGTGTATTAATATAACCTCAAATACTGGCAGGTTTGTGTTTGCATGGGCTTATATATGTCTTTTGGTTTATTAGGATCCAGGTATTAAGTTGAGTATTATTAATAAAGAGCAACTTAAAGAGCTATTTAAAAGCAGAGACCAATTAAAAGAATTACATATGTACCTTGGGAAAGGATTGCAGCAACAGTCTATTTAATTCAAAATACAAAGTGAGTTGAATATGCCGTATGTCAATATGTTTTTTTTAAAAAAATATTTATTTATTTTTTTTAGTTCTTGGCGGACACAACATCTTTGTTTGTATGTGGTGCTGAGGATCGAACCCGGGCCGCATGCATGCCAGGCGAGCGCGCTACCGCTTGAGCCACATCCCCAGCCCTCAATATGGTTTTAAACACAGTTTTTTCCCCAAGTTTTGAAATACATTTAGCTTCCAAGACTAGCAGCATTTTTAACAACATTGTGTATTTATGATTAAATTTGGCCTGTGCTGGAATGTCAAAATCAATTTTTCTTTCCTTCATCAAACAATCCTTGGTGGGCTGGGGTTGTAGCTCAGAAGTAGAGCGCTCGCCTACCATGCGTGAGGCACTGGGTTCGATCCTCAGCACCATGTAAAAATAAAATAAAGATATTGTGTCCACCTATAACTAAAAAATAAATATTAAAAAAAAATCCTTGGTTGCTTTCTCTTTTCCAACCTCTCTGTAAGGCTGGGGATATAGTGGTGAGTGGGAAAGAGGGCCTCGAAGTCAGGTGGGACTCACGGGCAGGCAGTTGGAGACCCATTGATGGCAGCGGTACAGACTGCTCAGCTCTGCTGTGGGGAAGCTTGTTGGGAAGAGGCTGGATTTGGAAGGGTCAAGATACACAGTGCCTCAGATTTCTCATGAGACATCATGCCCACTTCAGATCATTGATGGCGTCTCTTCTGCAATACCATTACAGATGTGGACCAGAACTTGATGGATCGCCTTCAGAGGGTGAATAACACTCTGCACAGCCAAATCGGCCGTTTGCAGAACATCCGGAACACCATCCAGGAGACTGGAAATTTAGCTGAACAAGCACGGGCCCGAGTGGAGAGCACGGAGCGGCTGATTGAAATTGCCTCCAGAGAACTTGAGAAAGCAAAAATCGCAGCTGCCAATGTGGTGAGTGTGTGGGAAGGTCGGGGTGGAGGGCAGATTGGGGAGCCCTTTGGAAAACTGTGGCAAGTGTGTTAGGGGCAGTGATGCGTTCTTCAGCTCCTCCCCTGCTGCTCCCCCAGCCAGAAAGCCATGTCCCTCCTTGTCGTGAGACGGTACCCGCTGGGTAAAAACAAGGGACACCTATGTTTCCTCTCACTTTATTCTTTCTCTGCCACTGGCAGTTTAATCTTCCTTTGCTGAAAATAGAAATCATTTGTAAAATCATTTAATAAAGATCTCTGAAAATAAGAAGTAGTCTTTTTTCTCTCTAACACTAACAAAAATTTAGTTTTGACACTTGCTTTCTGAAGTTTAAGCACTTCAGTCCTTTGAGAATAAATGCTTTTTTTCCTCTTCAGTCAATCATTCAGCCGGAGTCTACAGGGGATCCAAACAACATGACTCTTCTGGCAGAAGAGGCTCGAAAGCTGGCTGAACGGTAATTCTGTTTAGTGGTTAAGGTGTAGCTTCCCAGGGTGTAACTGGGTGTTCTGAACCACCCCTCAGATTGGGTCCCTCTGAAAGACTTACTTTCCCTTCTGAGATGTCAGCAGCTCTGTGTACCATCTTCTTCTTTCTACTTTGAAATTAGAGTGGTCACTTGAAGAGTTAGAATATAATGGTTTGTAGCAAGATTATATTTGCATATCTCAAAAAAAAAAAACCATACTTTTTTTTAGATTTTTAACTTCAGAGTCTTAAAGGTGATAGAGTCTAAGCATAAGCAGCTCAGTAGAATTCAATTATTAAATTCTTTTCATGTTAACTTTGCAACAAAAATGCTTTATTTTCATATCTCAGTAGAAAATATTTGCTCCCCTACCTCCCTTTACTGTCCCTATAAATTTTATATCATTAATCATCTTGGGAAATACTCCCCCCCCCCGCTTTTTTTTTCAATTTATAGAACACTTTTTGTAAACTTAGCCCCACTGAAATGATTGTAAAATTCCAAATGAATAGGATTTTCCAATATTTGGAGATCTCAACCCACATTAGTGTACGCATATATAATCAAATAAGCATTACCCAAATTTTACTTCTTTTCCTGTCGGATAGTCTCTTCTGTGGTTGATTTTTTTCTCTCTCTCTTATGTGTATAGCCATAAACAAGAAGCTGATGACATTGTACGAGTAGCAAAAACAGCCAATGATACATCAACTGAGGCATATAATCTGCTTTTGAGAACACTGGCAGGAGAAAATCAGACAGCAGTCGAGATTGAAGAGCTTAATAGGAAGTGAGTATAATTTAACAGTGGCTTTCAGACCCTCAAATATTCTTGTAAATAACACCAATTCAATGAAGAATTAAATGCTTTGGATTCAGGATGTGCATTCATGCAGTAAGATTTCTTTTGTTAATTGAGCTTTTGAAATGGCAGAGTAATTAAAGCAGGGGATGTGCAGCCACAGAGATTTTGTTTGATCCAATTACTGTAACTGTAGAGAATGATAATAAGACTAGTCATGATACTTAAAATTCTGCATACTAACTGAAAAAAGAAGGGAGAAAATGTAATAGAACAAATAGAATATACTTGTAGATCTTTAAAGGGGTCTTAAATAAGAAAGTACAAGTTTGAGAATCACATCTGAAATGCTTGGGACCAGAGTGTTTTGAATTTTGGATTATTTTATATTGTAGAATATTTGCAGTTACATAATGACATACTTGTGACTGGGACCCAAACCTAAACACAAAATTCATTTATGTTCATATACACTTCATACACATAGCCTGAAATGTCATACATATTTTCAGTGTGCCTGCATTTTGACTGTCACCCATCACATTAAGTCAAGTGTGAAGCTTTTCATTTGTTACGTTATTAGGTTATGTTAGTGCTCAGAAGGTTTGATTTTGGAGAATTATGGATTTGGGGATTAGGAATACTCAAACTGTTTATAGGAACTATGTTATAAATAGAAATTGATGACAAAATTAAATTTTAGCTAAACGTTGGCATTAAAATGAGAGCATTTTTAATGTAGCATTTCCTTTGAGGTTTTGGGAATGATATCCTGGTGGTGTAAACTGGGTTGAATCTGGTTAACATTAAACTGCTAAAAGGAGCTGTTTTTTATTAAATTTCATAATTTGTTCCTTAGGTATGAACAAGCAAAGAACATCTCACAGGATCTAGAAAAGCAAGCTGCCCGAGTCCACGAGGAGGCCAAGCGTGCTGGAGACAAAGCTGTGGAGATCTACGCCAGTGTGGCTCAGCTAGCTCCCGTGGACTCAGAGGCTCTGGAGGTACGCACAACGTGGTTGCCTGTGCTGTCCCCTCTAGTCTGTAGAAGAGCCTGTGACTGCCCTGCTCCTCCCTCCTCAGCCCTGACTCACCAGTACAGCTAAGTTCTATTTTAAGTGCACTAATAGATCTTATCAAGGTGAAGAGTCTTCTGATTATAAATGTTTAATAGCAGACTACTTTAATGATATGAATAATCATCCTATATCTTTCATATAAATGTAAATTATAGCACATTTCAGTTACTTAAAGCACCAAAAGCCTAGACCCTTCCTCCCAGGCACTATCTATGGAGATATGAGGAGCAACAAAAGGTAATGGTTTAATGAAAGCACTGTGTCAGGATGCTCTGGGCATGAAAGGTATTTGTTTGTTGGGAATTGACAGTATTTTATTTCATATCTGTGTTCTAATCATGCTTTCTCATGCAAAGTCCTAGATAAACATGTGTTTCACATTGAACTTGAAATTCACTGTTTCTCTTTCTGTATATGAGGTGTTGACTTGACAGTTGAAGGTTTAGATCTCTGCAGCCATACATGTACTCTCTTGTCTGTGCACACAAAATTTGATGAATGTGTGAGGATATTGGAACAGTGGCCATAGTAGGGAAGGACAGGTGGAGGGGCTGGGAAGGGGTGTAAGGGAACTTCTTTGGGTGATGGAAACATTTTGTATCTTTATTGAGGTGGTGCTACACAGGTAACTACATCTGTCAAAACTCATGAAACTATGTAAGCACTGTGAATTTCACTAGGTGAAAAGTGTGTCTCGTTTTAAATTTTAAAAAGGTTGACAAAATCTTGACTTGGGCTATTCTTCTAAAAATATCACTTATGTCATCTTCCTTGCTTTTCACAGAATGAAGCAAATAAAATAAAGAAAGAAGCTGCGGACCTGGAACGTCTGATTGACCAGAAGTTAAAGGATTATGAAGACCTCAGAGAAGACATGAGAGGGAAGGAGCTTGAAGTAAAGAACCTTCTGGAGAATGGAAAAATTGAACAGCAGGTCAGTTTGATTTGTAGGTTGCTTCATTTCTGGAGGCAACATTGTAACATTCCAGGTGTCATCTGAGTCCAACAGCAGCAGAGGTAGCAAACCATAAAGTGTTCAGTGCAGGACCTTCTTCTTGGTCCCAGCTGGGGGCTAGCATGCCCTATGCTGCAGCGTCTCAGGACAGAAGCTTTGAGGCGCCTTGTCTGCTAGTAGAGGGAAGCGGTGGCTTTGGCGGGTTGTCCTCTGATATGCCTTGCATTTGCAGACTGCCGATCAACTCCTGGCCCGAGCGGATGCTGCCAAGGCTCTTGCTGAAGAAGCTGCTAAAAAAGGACGAAATACCTTACAAGAAGCCAATGACATTCTCAACAACCTGAAAGGTATGAGAGGTCATGCATGATGGGGCTCTTGGGACATTTCTTCCACTTGGGCCATTTCATTCCTTCAGTTCTTAGAATGATAATCTCTGGAAACATGCAGCATGAGAGACAGTAGCATAGTGAGTCCCATCTACTCATCACCTAGATTCAGCAGTCACCATAGTTGTCACCACACTTAGTTCATCTCTGACACACTACTTTTTTATGCTGAAGTGTTTCCAAGAAAAATCCCAATGCTCATGTCATTTTACCCCTGCACACTTCAGTTTAGAAACAAACAAAAAGCATTTTCTTGAGAATGAAAATTCTCATTTTCATGAGAATGACTCACATGATAACCAAGTTCTGCCTTTTTAGCTGACCCATGTTGGTAAATGAAGGCTGTCATCTTTCATTTTCTCTGACATCTCATTCTTCACCCTGGATAGAAAAGAAATATGCCCAATTTACTGCATAGCTATGGATTCTCTACTGATAAAAATTATAGGTTCAATAAGGAAGATTTATAGGATAATAGTTGTAAGTATGGGCTTTGGTGTGGCGTCTGCAGGCCTGGTTCGAGTCCTGCTCCACACGTTAACCTCTTTAGTCATCCTTTTTTCTTATTTTTAAAAGTGGTGCACCTGCATCACAGGTACTCAGAACTCTTAGCTCAGTGTCCTGATAGTAAAATCACCTGTATTGGCCAGGGTGGTAGCAATGGTATGCTAAACACTCTGCATCAAAACAGATTTTCAAGTGAGAATTCTCTTTCCAGAAACAGGTGCACATCCTTACAACTTTTCTTGGGAAACCTATGTAGAGATGTGCGTGTACTTGGCTTTCTAAGATTTCAACTCAGGCCATTCTTTCATTTTTTTCCTGATTTTTATTGCTTGTGAAATAATTGCAGGTCCCTGAAAAATTCCTTTTTGCTTGTTGGGAGTTGCGTTCTGATGCTTTCCCTGAACTCCTTTTAGATTTTGATAGACGCGTGAACGATAACAAGACAGCTGCAGAGGAGGCACTGAGGAGGATTCCCGCCATCAACCAGACCATCGCAGAGGCCAACGAGAAGACGAGGGAAGCGCAGCTGGCGTTGGGCAACGCAGCAGCAGATGCCACTGAGGCCAAGAACAAGGCCCACGAGGCTGAGAGGATCGCCAGCGCCGTCCAGCAGGTGTGCACTTCCTCCTTGCCAGAATAGCCCCTCACACCTTCTCCAGCCACTGTCTAGGCCCTCAGGCCTGTGCAGAGTCTGACTGTAGCTCCAGCAAATCTGTCCTGACCCATCCCTAATTTATTTTTTAACTAGGCTTTAGAGTAGGTAACCATGTTGTTTGAAAAGGAAGAATCAGTAAAAAGGTCCCTTTAAAATTTCTATAGTAAATCAGTGTGGAATCCAAATTGTCCAAGTGGGACAGCTGCTGAGGGCTTTGGAGCCCTTCTACAAAAAAATTCTGCACTTCCCAGACATACATACTTCCTGAACCTGGACAGGTGACATCTTTCTCACTGTTCCGTAGAGTGCTGTATGAACACAGCTTTCCTGCCCCTTTCGAGCACATCGCCATTCCCAAGTCCCCCCGTGTAGACTTTCTGTAGCTGCTGCACTGGGATCCTTTATATTCATAACAGTGATTTCTCTCTGCTGGCTTTATCCTCTCTAAAGGCAAGATTGGAGCTGGTTCTAAAACTCAGGTCACATAAATGTCTTAGTTTCTCTAGAACAGTTAGAAGATTTTTAATTAAGTATGTTTATAATATACTCATATTTCAGGATGGAGGCCTTTTTGTACATTATGATCAACTGCCAAGAAGAATCAGGCTAGCTTTGAATTTAAAATGTATCCAAGGGAAAGAGTCTAATTGACCCAGTGTGGTTGGAAATGTACTCTATAAAATGTTTATCATTTGCTAGCTCTGTGACCTCCACTAAAAATAGCAGTAACAGGGAACTTCAGAAACTGAAAAAGAGAATGCAAATAAAGGCACTTTATAAAATTTAAAATGCTGTTTTGTTAGGTTTTCATGTTTTTCTTAATAACTGTTATTAGGTGATACAGTAGAAGCCTTGGTAGAAATCACTGTGCTGTTCTTTCTGAATTATATTTTTGAAACATTTTACAAATTATAAAAGGAGTGGGGCCATACTCTGGATAAGGGAAGGCTTTTAAAAATTAGCAATTTGCTTATCTTGTGCCTAGAATGCTACCAGCACCAAGGCAGAAGCTGAAAGGACTTTTGCAGAAGTTACAGATCTGGATAACGAAGTGAACGGTATGTTGAGGCAGCTACAGGAAGCAGAGAGAGAGCTGAAGAGAAAACAAGACGATGCCGACCAGGACATGATGATGGCAGGGATGGTAAGAGGCTTGGCACGCTTGTGAGTGGGTAGAGAGTTGAAGGGTGTTCAATAGTAAAGATCCCCATCTCGAGGGGAAGAGTGTCTTTGATATGGAGTCTGTTTTTCATTGCATCTGCTGGTCAAGAATTGGGTTAGTAGCTTACATAGAAGACAAAGAATTTGGATCTTCTGCCAGGACTTCTGTTGCACAATGGTCCTGTCCCAAAACTGCTCTTAGTTAAAAACAAAACTTTGTTTTACACACTTGGGGTTTTAGGACATTTAAAATGTCTATATTTTTGATTGAGTAATGCATAAATGGTATAAAATCAAAAGGGATAAAAGGGAATGCAATGAAAAGTCAGTTCCCTTCCTAATCCTTCCCATGGCTGGCTCCCTGGAGGCAAAGATCAATTTCTTTCGTATAAGAAAATTTGAAGGTAGCATTTACCATCACCCCACCAAAACACACCAGCTTCATGTTCAGTTTAACTTTTTTATTTTTTGTAAGGACGTGTGTACATAAGACCATTGGCAACAAAACTGATTTATGAACACATGGCCCAAGGAACAAGGAAGAATTAGGGTCCATTTTTCTGTTCTGTGCTGTATTTTGCTTCAGGAAGACTTTAAGACACAGAGTGGGAATATTCCTGCCCATTTGACTGTAGCAGTCACAGTAATGATTTTCAGGAACTTGTTGACTTATATACTTTCAGTGTAAGGAAGGAACTCTTTCTTTCACTGATGCTAAAGAAAAACAGGGCCTCTCACTGTGGGTCATTTTCACCTTGGGATAGGAAGGAGGAACATAAGGCCTGAAGAATTGATAACAGGAAGCATCTCTGTGAAAACGCCTGATTTTATTGTACTTTTTCCTTTTTTTGTTTGGATTGTTTTAATTTTCTGTGAGACAGACAGAGTGGCTCAAGTGGAAATTCCCATGTGGTAAAAATAGGGATTTCTCATAATGTGCTGAGAGTCAGTGATTTCATTTTTAATCTGGTCGTAGAGACACTACATTTTCAGAAAAGGGTATGGATTTAGTTTAAAGAATAGAAAGAAGATCCATCTTTTGTTATTGGTAAATAACTTCTGAGTAACATAAACAACCCTCACATACACTATCCCGCTGTGTTCCTATCAAGTCTGAAAGGCCAGCACTTAGCCAGTATTGTTTGGGTCTGTAACCATATTTTGTAAAGCAGAAGCTTGAAGGTTGAGGTGGCTCCTGAGAGAGGAGGCTGCAGCCCACGGGACAGATGCAGTGCGATTGTTCTTGGCGGCCACAGCAGGGTCCTGTCTCCTCCTAGCACATTCAGAAAAGCCTGTGGCGGCACAGTGAGAACAGCTGCCCTTGGAGCAGAGATTAATCATGTGTTTGTGAAGGGTTTTTGCCTTGCTTTCTTTTTCTGTTTAAAATTTTCACATTGTATGGATCCCAAAGTGTTTGAATACTTCGACCCTGAAAACTATGAAAAGTGAACCAGGGAGCTCTGAGCCACTCATTTCTATCTTGACTGGATTTATTTGTGAGAGCATCTGTTTTCTGATATTGAGACACTTCCTCTTCCACTGTTATTTCCTGTGACTCATGCTCAGTGTATTTGTTCAGGTTTCATGGAATTTTCCCAAATATCAACGTTTGGTTGGTTTTGAAGATGTAAATTGTATTGTCCCAATAAATGAGCGTGGGAGTGTGTGGCTGTGGCTGGGTGGCTGCAGGTTGAGGGGGAATTTACAGAAAAGCTTCAGTTGATTATGAAAATGTTCTAAGAATAGGTAGTTTCTAATAATCAAGTCCCTAAGAGTGCCCTGAAGGACATGTTTTGGTTCTAAAATGGAGTTTTTATACTCACCCTTAAAAAATAACTTGTTCTGTGTGATGGGTTTTATAATGAATACACCTTCCTGTGTTCTCAAGCGAGAACCTGAGAAGAGAAGATAATAGTGATTTTTTGTTGTTGTTGTTTTTTTAATATAAATACGAGTGTAGGCATGCTGACTGCCTCTTGGTGATGGTTCCATGGGGTAGAACTAGCAGTACCCTCAACCTGAAGATGTGGCCCCAGGAAAGCAAAAACCTACAGTGAGAGGTCATTATTTCATGATCAGAGAAGGGGAAAGCATCTGAAAATTCGATTTATTGGCTCATTGGGCCAACAGAGTATACCCAAAGAAGATGAAAACATAGCGTCGGAGCTGTTTGTATGGCTTATCCTTTTCCCCTGCAGGCTTCCCAGGCTGCTCAGGAAGCTGAGATCAACGCCAGAAAGGCCAAAAACTCAGTGAACAGCCTCCTCAACATGATCAACGACCTCTTGGAGCAACTAGGTAAGTGACCACGCGCAGTCCTTTTCTTCTGTGTGAATAAGTCACACTGTACCTGGGATTGGATATCGCTCACTCAAAGGCAGACTAATATATGAATCCCTTTAAAATCACCCATTGAATTATGAATACTTCTTCTAGTTCTTGCTTATTTAAAAATGCCATATAAAATAAGTATGTGTCTTGCACAAGGGAACCTTTAAGAGCAACCTGAATTATTAATTATAATATTCACATGTTCATCAACTTTAAAGAGCAAAATGAATTATGACTCAGATGTATTAATCCACTAGTGCTTACTAGGTGCATTCTGTGGACCCTAATCCAAAGAAAACAGTACAGTCTGGGGACTGTCTTTAAATTTTGAAGAGACATTGCCAGCTTGTAGGGTTCATTTTTGGTCCAGGTTCATGGGGCAATTAATCAGTATTATTTTTTCTTAGCTCATTCCATTAGCAGAATGTCTTTGAGGAATTTTAAAAGAATTTCAGTGATAAAATAAAAGAATACTTTAAACTGGGCATGACTTCATTGCCTGGAATTCTGTTCATTTGCCGACTAAAGCACAATTATTTTATGCCAAAAGAGAGAGAGAGAAACTTGATTTGTTAAGGAAAGATAAGCATATGGAAACCTTGTTCCCATCTTGGTAGGGAGCATCCTTCATTTTGGACAGATGTACTTTTGTCACCAAATTCCATTACAAGGTGGCAGTACTCTAGCCTGGACTCTTCATAGTGAGGCATTGTATTTTAATTTGCTAGCCTTTACAGATTGGTGTGTTTTGTTAGGTGCTGTTTTTTTTTTTTTTTTTTTCCCCTTTGAGGGGGAATTTTTTTTTTTAATGTCTCAAATGTCAAGAATAATAAATAATGTGCCAGCTGGTGGGTTTAAAATGAAAGTTAGCTATAAGAGAGAGATGTTCGTGGAAGAAAGAGCTGGACTTTAAAATTAGTCAGACTTGGGTCAGAATCTTTGCTTTGTTGCCAATAGGTTATACATACTTGGGCAAATTATTTAATTTCTGAGAATCACTGAGGTAAATGGTCTTATGAGAACTTGATCAGCTGGAATATGCCTGAAGTGCTGTCACTTGTATCTGCTTTCATTTGTTACAGAGCCTTCTTTTTCTTGCTTCATTCAAAGTGAGGCTTTGGTGAAATTATGTCAGCATTTCAGCCTTGGCCATTTTCCATAGGAAGGTTCCCAATAGTGTCCAGTTCCCAAAAGCAGACAGTGCCCCAGCCAGCCAGCCCATCCTCCCTGGAATCTAGGAGTTTGAGGGCTCAGGCTCTCCCTACCTTGGAATTTTTGCATTCTTCAGATGGCACTAAAATGACATACAGACTACCTGTAGAAACCTGGAAAGGGCAATAAATGTTACCAGGTGACCTTCCGAACCACACTTGGAGTGTAGGGTACAGAACACTGTAGCTGTGCATTGAGAAAATGTTCCGCAAAGAACTGTCTTCTCGGAAAAAAGCTTCTGGCCCAATATCTTATATAAGTTCTGACCCACCTCTGCTGGGCCAGGTCAGTGTTTGCGCTTGGCTTGCATCGTCTGTGCCCTTGTACACAATGATGACCCGCAGGTCAGGGCCGCCATGGTGTGGTGGCAGCTGCTGGGTTAATGTTGAGAAAGGCTCCTGGAGGTACCTGAGTGAGGTTCTAGGTCTTGCTGAAGGTGTCTACTCTTCTCTATGCTTTCTGGCCCTATAGGTCAGCTGGACACAGTGGACCTGAACAAGCTCAATGAGATTGAAGGTACCCTGAACAAAGCCAAAGACGAAATGAAGGCCAGTGACCTTGACAGGAAAGTGTCCGACCTGGAGAATGAAGCCAGGAAGCAGGAGGCTGCCATCATGGACTACACCCGCGATATCGAGGAGATCTTGAAGGACATCCACAACCTGGAGGATATCAAGAAGACCTTACCATCCGGCTGCTTCAACACCCCGTCCATCGAGAAGCCCTAGCATCGAGAGGGCTAGAAGACAGCATCCCCTGCTGGGGGATCGTTTGTGAGGCCACAGAGTGCCTTGACACAAAGATTACATTTTTCAGACCCCCACTTCTCTGCTGCTCTTCATCACTGTCCTTTTGAACCAGGAAAAGTCACAGAGTTTAAAGAGAAGCAATTAAAACATCCTGAACTGGGAACAAAGGGTTCTATCTAATAAAGTCTCTCTTCCACTCCTGTTGCTACCTTACCCACATTTTCCCTTCCAGTTTGCAGGAGGACGTGACATCCTGCACTGGTGTCCTGTGAATGCTCGAATGCCAGGGCAGCATCCCTCCCCTCTTGCATCGACACCAGCAGAGCTCCTCAGTCTCGGTACTCTTGTTTCTATGAAGGAGAAGTCTGGCTACTAGTTGTAGCATTGTGATGGCCAGTATACCCAGTCCACCGATGAAGAAAGTACGTCTGCATCTTCTGACCTCCTCCTTGTAAGCAAAAGGAAATAAACATCCTGTGCCAAAGGGACTGGTCATTTAGAATGTGGGTAGCCATCCATCAGTCCTGCTCGCTGTTTAAGTTTAGGAACTGAGCCATCCATGGGTCAGGGTATAGTTATTTATGAGAGTCTCCAGGAGAACGTGGCTGACAAGGCTGAAGATTTTCTCTTATGTTAATAATTGACTAGGAAGATAAGCTTTTTTTCAGATCTTTGGGCAGCTGATAATTTAAATCTGGATGGGCAGCTTGCACTCACCACTAGACCAGTAGACCTCTTCTGATATTCTTATAAATGGACCTTACTCTGAAGAAACAGGGAGATGATAACCACTAAAGTTTCTTTCAAAATCAAACATCCTAGAGCTATTTTAGTATGTTACTCTTGGAACTAGTGTTAAAATACCTGTCAGACAGCACTTGGTCCCTAAGATCTTGACAAACACAAGAACAACCTCCTCGTCCTAGTCTTTTCTAGCAGAGGGATGAAACGTAGGTGGAACCTATAGTGTCGGGACCTCAGGTGTGCATGTTTTTTCCTTCTTTTGGAGAGAGATGGAACATTTGACCCTTAGCTCCAGTCTTCTTTTTCCGCCTTCTGGAATTCCTCAGAACACATTGTTGTCTGCCAAATCCTGGTGGCAAATGCTTGCACTGTTTCATGCAGCAGCCAACACCCTAGTTCCTGCACTTTGTGATTCACCCACTGTAGACCTCCCCTCTGGGTGTAGAGGGGAGAACCTTGTGTGGAGTTTCCTAGTGGGCTTCTCAGCCTTCGGTCCTCAGCTTTGTGGTTTTCTAAGACCACAGTGTGACAGTTCCCTACCACGCCCCTCTCCCTCCTACCAACCTGCCTTTGAGATTCACATATAGCCTTTAACACTATGCAACTTTGTACTTTGTGTAGCGGGGGGAAAGAAACTATTATCTGACACACTGGTGCTATTAATTATTTCAAATTTATATTTTTGTGTGAATTTTTTTTCGTTTATCATGATTATAGAGTAAGGAATTTATGTAAATATGCTTGGTCCTGTTTCTAGAACGGCACTGTCTGTTCACATCTTGGCTCAGTTTTTCCTCTTCACCGGCCTGTCATTCCTGCCTTGCCGCCTCTCCTTCCATCTAGACTTTCTTGGGTTGTATTTGTGTCCCAGACGCTGCTCTCCGCCTCTGCAGCTTGTCCGTTGTCTAACATCAACATCAGCACGCTTTCCTCCATAGAGGGAGTCGGGCCTCCTCCACGGCATCCTCAGGACCCCGCACTATTCTTAATGCCCATTCCAGTATGTGTGGGATCAGGAAAGTTTGCCAAGGGGGATCTAGTTAGCCAGCGATGAGCTAGAAATGCCCTTTCTAGCAAGGCGTTGATAAGGGAGTGCGTTATGACGGGCTTTGGAGGGCATCTGGGGTGGTGCTGCTGATGGGGAGGCGGGAGGGGTGGTGTGCACACTTCTTGGTCCCATTTCCTGTTTCCGTCTCCTTGGGGTGTATCAGACTCCCCCATAAGGTCCTGACTGGGCCTGCCCACGCTTTCACTCTTGCTCTCCTCTGCCCATTCTGTTACCACGGAGGGATGGCTCCTTCTTGCCAGGTTTTCCCATCAGTGGTTCCCGGCTGGTTCCCCTTATTAAGTGGCCACAACTTCACCTGTGCATCTTGGTCACAGTTGCAGGGAAAGGACTGAAAGGACAATTGGGACAGGTTCACTCCAGCAAGTCTTAGGCCATGGTGGGGTTTTGTTGTTGTTGTTTTGGTTTGTTTGAGAGGTTTTCTCTTCCATCTGTGTGGTATATTTTTAAACAGAATTTTATTTTTAAAATGAAAGTTCTTTATAAGACAATACCTTAATTCCACTCCTGCAATATAGCCATTATTTTATTGTATCGCTGCAGTTGTCTTTGTCTTATGAAACAGACAGATGGCTGCTGCAGATTGCTGGGTGTCACAGGGGATAGAAACTGTTATTTTTCCCTGGAATTTTCCCTTTTGATTCCAACTGTGGCCTTTTGTATGTGCCTTCACTTTAGCTGTTTGCCTTAATCTCTACAGTCATGCTCTCCAGGGTGGTTAATAAAAACGCAACACTTGGCATTTTTTATGTTTAAAAAAAAAAAAGAACAGTATTTTATTTATAATAAAATCTGAATATTTGTAACCCTCAATTTGGTGTGTCCTAAGTGTGGTACTGGGGATATAGATGTTCTTAAAGAGATGATGAATGAAAAACTATTCGTTGTGTCTTTGGGTGAACTCTTTTCTTGAGAACAATCTAAGACTTTTTTTATATATATATACCTTCTTTAAATTGGGATACTTCAATATAGTCCTTAAGTTGGCAGACTACTCGGTAAAGAGCTAGACAGTAAGTATTTTAGGCTTGTAGATTCAGTCTGTGTTGCAGCCCCTCAGTTTTGGTCTTGTAGCACAGAAGCAGCCCTAGGCCATATGTCAGCATATGAGCCTGGCTGTACTCCAATAAAACTGCTCACAAAAACAGGTCAGGGGCCTGCGGGCTGGAGTTCACTGGACGCCTGGTTTAGTCTCAATACTCAATACATGATGACTGAGATCTATGTTTAATGACAGGCTACCTGAAATAGTAAATGCATGTAAAATGTGTCTTTCCACCTTTCCATGCACACATGTATTCAGCTAAAAACAGTTTCTTTAGAAGACTGGAAACACTCTCAAACCTATGACAGAATAAAAGGAAAAAGTAGTGGGCTGCCCCAGCAGGCCCAGAGCAGCTCATCGTACCTCGACCCTCCTGGAGGGTGGACCTGCCTGAAGTGACCTGAGACTCAGGGAGGCATTTTGGAGCCAGAGACAGCAGGAATGCTCCGGGCCTGCAGAGCCCTTCCCCCTTGCTCTTCAATATTCTGCATATTGCCCTGGGTCTCTGTGCGTCCTTGCCACTTTCCCAATCTTATAAATTGTTATAGCTATGGTACCTGTAAAGAAGAACCTGAACACTCTAATCGGACTTCCTGGGAGGAAGCTTTAGAGGGCACTAGTTACTAGTTTTTTTAAATCCTCCTTTACCTGGGTGGTTCCCCCCACCCCACCCCAATTGCAGGGTCGGAGATACAAATGTAAATCCTTTACTGTGTCAGAGTTAGAAGTGGAATTTCTAAAGTTTTTCCTACCCCATTTGTCATTTTAGGGACAGCAGCTTCTCAAAAATTGCTACCAGGGGCTGGGGATGTGGCTCAAGCGGTAGCGCGCTCGCCTAGCATGCGTGCGGCCCGGGTTCAATCCTCAGCACCACATACAAACAAAGATGTTGTGTCCGCCGAGAACTAAAAAATAAATATTTTAAAAAAAAATTATTAAAAAAAAAAAGTTGCTACCAAATTTTAATAATCTGATTCAAAATTTCCCTGCAAATTTACTCCTCAAGTAAACATTCCAGCCCTTGATAAATCTGAACTCAACCAGCTCCACTTCCATTAGACTCAAAATGAGATGATGGAAGGAGGCCCCAGTACCCAGTAGGGTCAGGAGGTGAGAAAGCTGCGGACACCTCCCTGAGAGGAAGAGGGGCCCAGCCCAAAGGAAAGATTAGCTCTCTCCAGGCCTGTGGCCTGTGTTTGAATTGGCCTCCTAGAATGGCCATTCCCCTTCTACACTAATGAGTGAAATTCTAAATGATGAAGTCAAATGCGTGAAGAAAGAAGAAGTGTTTGCCAAGGTCCAGTGAAAAGCCAAAAAGTCCCTGATTTAAAATTCAAATGTGAGAAACCTGTTAACATTTTGAAAGCTGTCTGTCACATGCTTATCTTTGCTTTTACTCTTCTTCTTAGAGCATTCTCAGGACAAGTATGGCCTCAAGTCAGGGTGTCATCTTCTCTGTTGCAATGGGTCAACTTCCTGGGTCACCACCCTCCCAGCCTTGCACTGCTTCTAAAAGGCCCTTGGGCCTAGGATTATTGTTCAGGTGGCCTCACCTGTATTTCCCCCATCTCTTTGTTGCATCACCAAGATCAGGGTCTGTGCTTCTCCTGTTTGCATCCTCAGGGCCCAGAGGCATACAGCAGTCCTTCAGCTAGTGTGAGGAGGATTGGCTTTCCTCATCCCATGCCTGTTTCTTTTTTCCTACTGTGAGCAGAGAGAAGAGAGTTCCACCCAACAGCGTTCTGCACCCTCGGCACTCCCACCTCGGCACAGACTGGCTACTTGTTTGCAGGAAGATAAGCAAAACCACCTGCATCCGAAGGCACAGAACACGCCACCTACACTTCCATGTAGTCTGCATCCTGCTAGCGCAATCTGGTCTGGGAGGCCTGTGCTATCTAGCTCTGCGGGATGTACTCACAACCCTTCAGTAGCCCAGCCCAAGTCATAGCACTAATTCCCTTTGTTTTTTTCTAACTTTTGGGAATGATGCCAGTAAATTTCGGCCAATGAGATATTTTATCCCGTTGGTCATTAATATAGGCCACAATTAATGTAGGCCATAAGTAATTAATACAGGCCATAAAATTACTACTTATTAATTCAATGTAGTTTATATTTATTTCCATGAAAATTAAGCATCAGGCCCTTGATCAGGAATGTAATCTATTACATCATTGTTCCCATAAGTCTTTTTCACCATGGCTAGTAACAAAAAATACTCTACTTGAACCTCAGACCAGTGTTTTTGGGGCCCATCCTATGAACCCTTGGCATATGCACCATCAAGCTGCCCTCGTACCAAGGTCCTCTGCAACGATCAAATCTGTTACATGTTAGTGTTTTTAGAGTTAAAAATTTTTCTAGTGCAAATCTTTTCGGACTATTCAGTGCCCACCTTCTGGGATGTAGTCTTCACTGTCCTTACTTTCCTGGGTAGTTGACCCCAGCCACTTTTTCCTGGCATAGTTCTTTCCTCCTGACCATGGCCTCTAAGTGGGGGTTAGTGCCGAGCAAGCACAAGTCCAGCCCTGAACAGATCTGTCTGGGAGATGTGCCGTCCGAGAGTGGATTACAAGTCCCCGGCTGCTGAGCCAGCATCCAGGATAAAGGTTCAAGAGGCACAGCTATGATTTCTATGATTACACGTTCCGCGTGGTCAGAGTTTGTGTCGCGACTTGCTACCCTTCTCAGCTCAGACAGTCTGCTCTCTCCTGTCTCGGTTGGGCTGGCTCAAAGGATCAGACCTGGCCCGTTTTGCCACGTAGATTTAAGATGAGCTGCCCTCTTTTAAGTCCCGAGGGACTCAAGGAGTGGTACTACCAAGTTAGCTTGATTTTTTTTTTTTTTTTAAAAAAAGCACCCTCCTAATAATTTTCTTTCATTTGCATCTCATTTGAGTAGGGTCTCAGTTTGACCCACGAGGGAATCCAAAGCATGGTAAGCTGCTGCATCCTACCCCTGTGTCAGTAGTTGTCTTCTTCCTTCTCATGATTTTGATTCATTTTCCTTTTAAGAACCCCTGTTAAATATAATCATAATTTATCATAAGTTACGTTGTATCCCTTTTTTGAAGATAGCAAAGCAGAATTACTAAGTGGAATCTGATTGTCCTCCAGAAACCTGAGCCACACCACGCAGTTCCTGCCCATCCTGCTGCATCTCCCTTCCCTTCTCTTCCCTGACTCGATTCAGGGACAAGTGCCCAAGGCCAGTTCAACTAATTTTGCCTAATGAAGAATTCATATGAAATTAACTCTCATTGGAGTAGCCCTATTCCTTTTGCTTTTTTTATAACTTTAATCAGTTTTGAAATTTTTCCTTCCCTCAGTGCTAAGGATGGCACCCAGGGCCTCACACGTGTTCTACCATGGAGCTACGTCTCCAGCCCCAAGAATTTTGTCCTTTTGAATAAGTTCCATGTGCCGCAACACTTTGTAAATGACCGGATTGTTTTGCACTCGAGATTGTTTTTCTCTTTTCTAACCTCTAACACTTTATTTTGAAAAAGGTTGAGGCTTACAGAAGAGACACAAAGAAAAACAGAGTTCTCCTGTACCCACCCCAGGTTCCCTGGTGTTTGCATGTACATAAACAAGGTACATTTGCCTAAATTTGGAAACAAATGTTGGTACAATACTGTTAACTACATTCTGTTAACTATATAATCTACAGTCTTGATTCATCTACAAAAAAAAAAAGCTTTTAAAGCCCCATTTTTATTTTATTTTTTAAGATGGATGGTTTATTAATATTATGATACGGGTTGGTCATTTTATTTATTTATTTTTTGCTTTAAGCTTGATCTTCAACTGATAAGTGCTACCCACATTAATGGGGATAATTGCCTTTAGTTAAAAGTCAACTGATTGTAGAGGTTAACCACATCTGGAAATTCCCCCCAAAGCAGCACCTTGGTTAGAGTTTGATTCAATAACACAGTATGCACTATAGCCTAGCCAAGCTGGCGCACAAAATTTACCATCAGAGAGATCTGTTGTTTACTTATTTAGAAAAGCATCATTTTATGAAGTGAACGGTTCTGCAAGCAGAATTTTATATGAATTAATGTGGAGGGGCATGCATTTGAAAATTAGGAACACCTTTAAGTACACCAAAACACTTCAAAAGTTCAGTGAAAGCACGGGCCCCACAGAGTGGACACAGCGCATGGACAATTTAGCTGTATGGCCTGGGGTTGGTCTCTCAACCTTGCCTGCATTTCCGGTAAGTGGGGATGGCGCAACTTTAGGGAGTCCCCATAAGTGGTAAGTATATGAAGCAGTACATACACTTCAGCACTTTCAGGGCAAACTGAAGTTTCATCAGAGTTTAAAATTTGTACAGTCTGGGGGTCGTCTTAAAAAGTGCAGTGCAAATGGAAAAGTGAGTGTGGAGCAGGAAAGGGGCCGGTGTCCTGTCCCCCTCACAGAGAAATCCACACCCGGGTGGCTTGCTCGGTTTGTTTTAAACCAAGGGAAAGCAGCGCAGGGGCTTTTCTGTCGGAGGGACGGAGTCTTGGTCATTGGGCGTGTGCATGACTGTACTTCCCTTCCCCTGCAGACACCTCAGCCACCGTCTAGCCAGGAGAACCTGTTTGGTGCACTCATGGCATGACGACAGCGGGTGTGGCTCAAGAGGGAGTGCCCGGCCTCCCCGTGTGACCAGAGGCTGCAGAATCAGACCCACAGGAAGAAAGGGTGCCCCAGGCCCTGGCTTACTGGCTCCGGGGATTCTGCAAGCAGAGCTTTCACTGTTTTTTGCATTA